TAAAGTCCTTTGGGTCATACAGACAAGTCACAAGGAACCAGGAATGGATTATTAAAGAGATTACTTAAAACAAGATTTAGGCAATGCTTTATTCACAAAATGGTACCGAATCAAATCAATATTTACTCAGTACTTTAAAGGCAGTGTATTAGGTAGTGAAGCATAACAAAAGCCTAGTTCTACATTAGACAAACCCACATCGATTTGAGAAAGTTTGTGTGATGGGGGAACTGTATCCTTAGTGTCATAAAAGAAAAATAAAGGCTGTGGAAATGTTTCAGATTAAAGAAGGCTTAAGAGACATGACAACTGACTCAGCCTGGATCCCATATTAGAGGGGCAAACGCTCTAAAGGAGATTATAGGATGAACTGATAAAATTGGAATATGAAAAATATATTAGAACAAAATAAATGGGGGAAATGCATGAAGGTGGTCAAAGGGTCTGAACATCCAGTTATAAGATGAATAATTTCTGGAGAGGTACAGCATGTTGACTATAGGTAACAAAACTTTATTTGTACATTTCAAAGTTGTTAAGAGAACAGATTATAAAAGTTCTCATCACACAAAGAAACTATGCAAAGCAAGAGATTAACTAACCTTACTATGGCAATCATTTTGCAACATATACACATAACATCACTATGCAGTATACCTTAAACAATGTTATATGTCAATAATATCTCAAAGTTGGAAAAAAATGATAAAATACATGTTTTATATTAATACATTGTAGCTCTTTATAGGTGCTGTAAGTGTAAATTATGCACTAAGTTTCAAAGACATGACAAAAGAATATAAAATATATTAATAACTAAAATATTGATTACATGTTGAATAATATTTAGATATATTGGGTTAAATAAAATAGGTATTTTTTATATTTGCCAAGTTCATTTAACTTGTTTATTTTTACTTTTTTAATATGGCTACCAGACAACTTACAATTATATATGTGGCTTGTTTATATATTTATTGGCTAGGACTGAGGGAGATAAAGAACACATATAAATAAGGCAAAATACTTACAGTATAACAATAGATAAACCCGAGTACAAAATATACAGGTGTTCTTTGTACTATTTTCCATTTTTGCAACTTTTCTGTAAATCTGAAATTATTTTCAAATAAAAGTTTTTAAAAAGTTTAGTTTCACATCAGAGATAAATGGAGATTAAAGACAGAATGTTGAAGATGGGCTTATACCTGTTTAAAATGTGGAGAAGGGTAAAACAGGTGAGATACTCTAGATATGATACTCAATATAGCAGAAGGATGGCGGCCTGAGCTAACCCGACCAACATTCTTCCAGATTAGCCCCAGAACGGGAGCCCAACCACCACAGGGACTCACTCACCCCTCTGGAAAGAAGGCATTGATGATACGGTCTCCCAATGGGTTGATGGCAAGTTCTGGAATCCGCTGGAAATCTTCCCGGCTGCCAAGAGAATCACCTTGATTTACAGACCATTGGCCCTTAACATGACTCCTTCAGTCATGCGAGAGTACAACCTAGCAAGAATATTAACTCCTGGAATTTACTTCTGTGGCCAATTATCCAAGTAGCTGCAAAGAATAGCACTTTAATAGCTGTTGAGTGTTTCTTGAGCTAACTCAGGAGTGGAAGAAACCAGATTTGACTGTGCCACATTCCAGTGAATTCAGCACTCAGGTTACGTCAATAAACCAAATGACAAGCAAATACTAAGCTGTCTCTGTAAATGATTCCTGGGACATTACCATTTTGTACTTAGTATTAAGTTTGAAGAATGAATAGCAAATGCAAAGTGTAAAACACCACAGAGGTTGAATGTGGGAGCAAAAATTCAGAGGGGCTTCCTGTACCCTAGGTATGATGATGTACAGCAACTATAAAATGCAAGGAATTCTGAGGTGATATTTGTGCCCAAGGAAAGAATAAGATGGGACAGTAACTGATTTTCATACTTCCTTGCCTCGACTCTGGCTTTTTCTCCATTGCTTTATACAGTCTAGAGCTAGAGAAGTATTTAACCCTCAGACATAGCAAGAACAGTCATCCCCTCACAACTTGGATGTTATGCTGAAGTGAGTATTAGTTACCATTCACTGTGCACACATCATGTGCTGCCCTGTTTACATACATTATCTCAGTTCTCCAAGCCAACATTTTATCTATACCCTTTTAGAGCTGAGGAAATTGAGTCACTGAGATTAAGGAACTTGCCAGTGACAAAGCTAGTAAGTGACAGAAGGGTGGTTTAAATCTAAGTGTGTAAGTCAAAGCACTTTCTTTTTTTTTTCTATAAAAACCACATTTCTTTCCCATATTAAACATTCTGAAAGATTCTCTCCCCCAAAATGTTCAATAGTTATTTTTTAGGAAGTTCTTGGCTGATATTCTGTGCCAAAAATATAGGGCTGTATACAACAAATCTGTGCTGTACTCTTCAAAAATATCAGTGTCATGAAGGACAGAGAAGGCAGAGGTTTGTTCCAGATTAAAGGGGACTGAAGAGACATACAACTGAACTCAATGCATGATTCTATACTAGGAAAAAAACTGCCTATGAAGAACATTACTGAGCTAATAGGTAAAAATGGAATATAGACCATACAGAATATAGGGATTATATAATAGTACTGTATCAAAATGCTAGTATTTCCTGATTTTGATATGAGAATGTTCTTGCTACGGGAAAGAAGGCACTGAAATATGTGGCAAAATGTTTGTAATTGGTAAATCTGGGTATCAGGCATGTGAAAATTCTTTGTATTATTCTTGTAACTCTTCTGTAAGATTGAAATTATTTCCAGTTAACAAGTAAAAAAAAAAAAAAGGAATATAAACTCAAAAAATCTGCTTCCTGCCTTCAAGATGTTTACTAACAGAGGAGATAAAACTTAATCCCTTCACCTTCTTTGTACTAAATGCTAATGAAATGTCCCTATTTTACCCAGGAACCTTTCATACTCTGTTCGTCTTGAGGTTCAACATTTACATAGTGGTTAATTAATTCAACAAGTTCATCTCTACCACACCTGGTGGTGACACAGGTAGGAACTGATCTACGGGACTGAGCACAAAGCTCTGAAAGAGTAACTCTGGATTCTAATCATCCTTGATCACTTAGGGTAATAATTTTTATATCAATGAATCAGAAGAAGCGTTTCATAAGATAACTGGTTTGCTTAAAATGTGAAAAGCTAAAGGAAATGACTGAAGTCCTGATTATTTAATTCAACAAAAGTGCTAAGCTGTTATTACATAATTTGCTCTAAAATACAAAGTCCACATTATCACCAAAATGTAGCTCCTCTTGATAGAAGTTAAGAACCAATAACTACTTCCTTTTAAATGAAGATTAAGGCTGATTTGAAGTGCTAGGCCACATACCTCAGTTTAATGTCTAACAAGTTTAAGTAATTGTAGCTGAGAATAGCCACAGCTTAAATACCAGATCTACTATCAGGTGGTAAGTGCACAAACTAGCCTGAGCTCCTTTAATCTCAATTAAGGATCTAGTCTTAGACTTCCAATATCAATAGAGACCTAAACACTGTCCTCTGACATTTTCAAACTTTACTCTTAGAATTTAGGTTGTATATACAATGTAGTTCTATAAGACCAAGGGAAATAGTATTGATAGTATCAAAATTAAAATGAAAGAGTATAAAAAAGTTTGTAAAATGTTAATATAGTTTATTATTATTAGTTGTTCTATAGTTGAATGGAGATCACCTGGGCAATTTCTCTAAAATCTGTCCACTGATACAAATAGAGAAAAGAAAAATTCTCCTAACAGCCCACACATCACATACGTACAATTCACTGAAATGTAGATTCATGTGTACACATAAAACAAAATACCAATATTATATTCTACCTCATAGTACATCTAGGGAAATTTTCCTCAAAGATTTTTTAAGAAAATACATTATTACCAATTGTAGGAATGTCTGAGATTCAAATCACATATAATGGAATTCTTTGTGGCCAAAAAATTCCCAATGAAGAGTGGTTTTCCAGACATTCACAGGCACAGGGATGCTTTGGAAAAATCAGAGTTTGGGAGACCTTTACTAACCAGAAGTCTAGCACTCTACACTGATCATCACTATGCAGGTCCCTTTTCTTAGAGAATCAGCCACACAATTAGCTGCTTACGTTTCAAGGAACCAATGACTTACACATAATGAGGACATTAAAATCTGCTAATAATACATACCTGTGGGAACACATTCAATTAGGAAAAATTTTCCATATTTAAATAATAGAGATAAATCATTTACTGTTTATTTAAGTATATTTATATTTATAAACATTGAAATGACAATTTCCATTACTTAAAGCATTTAATTAATACTTAAATGAAATTGATAAATTTTTTTGTTTTGGTAATAGAATTCTTTTCATATGAAATGTCAGTAAGTGCTGAATCTAGTTCTTACTAGTTTTAGTGGTATAGGCCTAGATGGGCTTATTTGCAAGACTGCAGCTGACTTTTGGTTGAGGATATAACGAGCACATACACATTTCTCATTCTCTGAAACCCCTGGAATGTCAGCTAAAGGTACACATGGGAACATAGCCATGACATAAACAGTCAAGGTGGGAGGAGTGTACTAATAAACAAGAGGTTTTGAGAAATTCTGGAAGTCAGAAAATACATGCAAATACAGTGACAAGTTAATCAGAGTAGAGGGCCCATGAAACAGCTGTGGCAGAGTTAAGAACCAATCTGCCCTGCAGAGTCTCTTGAGGCAAGGCACCACACTCAGAGCTGCCAGGTAAGGGAAGCAGCATTCAGGGTTATTAATTAAAGAACTTTTAAAGAATGGGCCAGCTGCCCTCTGCTGCCAGTGCCCATTCCCAAAATGTAAAAATTTTTGGCTCCAAGATAAAAATGAAGAACAGCTATGAAAAGAAACTGAAAGATCTACCTGGGCAGGGCTTCAACCAAGTGTGGGAGGTTGGCCCACTTGGAACACAGTTCTTTTATTTGGGAAAGAGCAATGCAAATCTGTCCCCTTTTTCCCTGACCTTAAGTAAGGTCTACTTGCTCAGAATACAGAGGACTTGAAGTCAGCCCTTCCATCCAGGGAAAGACCTATGGAGAAACAACAACAAATAAACCCATGCCAGTTTTCTACAGTAATTCACTCAGGCTTTTTTGTAAATATGAATGGACAACCAAAGCTCACCAGATACTCTGGGGAAATTAATAGCACAAAAGAGTAGGATCAAGCAAAATAGACATACTTGTAATTGAAGGAACAAAAGAGAGTTATGAAAGATTCTACTAAGTAACCCAATAGACAGATGATACATTTTTGCATTTGTAAAACTAAAATAAGCTACTATGATAGAGCAGAGATCAGAGAACTAGAAGTTTCTTAGAAATTAAAAATATGTTGACTAAAAAGATTTGTCAAAAGGACTGAAAAATAAATTCAGGGATATCTTTCAGAAAACCAAGGAAAAAGGCAAACAGCCAGAAATGGGAAAAGTTGAGTCATGGTGGTCCAATAATAGCCAACTAGCACAAATATAAAGATCAGTTTAAAAAAAGGATTGGAGAGAAAATAATAAAAGAAATAACAGAAGAAAACTTCCCAGGTAAAGAATGTATTTTTAGATTTGAAAAGGTTCACCTAAGCCTGAGCAATGAATAATGAAAACTAATCCCCAAATAGGCAGATCTTTGTGAAATTTCAGAAAATCAAGGGAACAGGTAACAAAAGACTAGAGGTCACTATTCATCTGAGCACTTGGATGGGTTCTGAAAAGTTCAAGACAGGCCTTGAGTTTGCCAGTAAAAGCTGAAGAGAGTTAAATTGCTGTGTATTACAGAAGAATTTAGAGTTCACCAAGAAACTTCCAAGGCTAGAGGGAGTAAAAGAGAAGAGAAGGTTGGGGGAAAAGGTAAGACAATCTAACAAGATGGTCAGATGTTGAAATAACCATTATCTAGACACACAGCCAGGGTGAAATCCCTGATAGTGGGTGGGTCCACAAGATGATTTACATATGCTAGCTGTGTACTATGTAGTACAATGGGGTAATTTCTTCATACTCTCAAGGTGGCTTGGTGCTTCTTCCATATTTTAATCCTTACCAGGATGGAGATTTAAGACCTAGGGCTTTGTAAAGCTGAGTACAAAAAAATCAGTTAGATACAGGTAACCATGAAATCATAAATTACCCTATCACTTCCCACCACCTCTTCCCTCACCAAGAATTTGCAGAAATCAACACTACAAACCAGCGGACAGTGCCTACTACATCAAAGAGACTCAGTAAGTACCTAGCAAATGAGTGAGTGAATATACTGGCTTTCTACAGAGTGTTTTAGGAGTTGAGCAAATCTGACTAGATTTTAAGAATCAGGTAACACTAGCTGACACTTGGAAAGTTTTCACCCTAAGGAGAAAAAAGCTCCTTTTTAAAAAACTTTTCCATTGTTTTCCAGCAAACAGTGAAAGCAATTAAAACACATACACATTTACAAATCACCCACTTTCCACAAAGAAAAATGGACTCAGAACTAATGTGAATTCTGTATCTTTACTTAGTGGTTAAAGCAACATTTATGAGGAAGATGTAATCCCAAAGTCAAATAGATTATTCAAGAATTGGAACTGAGAGGAAAAAAAATTAGAGATTTCTAGTCTATTTTATTTTTCAAGTGAAAATTTACACAGTCTCTTTAACAAACAGTGCTGGGACAGATGGATATCCACATGTAAAAAAATAAAGTTCGACTCTTATCACACACCATACATACACAAACAATAACTCAAAATAAATAAAAGACCTAAATATAAGAGCTACAACTATAAAACTTTTAGGAAAAAAAGGGGTAAATCTTCAATGTCTTGGATTTGGCAAGACACTGAAAGCACATAAAACAAAAGAAAAACTAGATGAATTGGATTCATCAAAATTTAAAACTTTTGTGCCTCAAAAACTCTATAAAGAGTGAAAAGACAATCCACAGAATAGGAGAAAATATTTGCAAATCATGTATCTGATAAGGGTCTAGTATCTAAAATACAAAAAGAACTCTTACAACTCAACAACAAAACAACGATCCAATTAAAAAATAGGCAGAGGACTTGAATAGGCATTTCTCCAAGGAAGATACACAAACAATAAACCAGCACATGAAAAGATGCTCAACATCAACAGCCACTAGGGAAATGCAAATCAAAACCACAATGATATACCACTTACATCCACTAGGATAGTTGAGTGAGAAGACAGATAAGTGTTAGTGAAGATGTAAAGTTTGAACCCTCACACATTGCTGGTGGGAACGTCAAACAGTACAGCCACTGTGGAAAACAATTTGGTGGTTCCTCAATAAATTAAGCATAAAATTACCATATGACCCACAATTCTACTTCTAGGTATATGCCCAAGAGAATTCAAACACACGCCTACACAAAAATGTTCATAGCAGCACTATTCACAATAGCCAAATGTCCACCAACTGATGAATGGATAAACAAAATGTGGGGCATGCATGTGTATACACAGCTACATACAATGAAATATTATTCAGCCATGAAAAGGAGTAACATACATGCTGTAACCTTGAAAACATCACATTAAATGAAAGAAGCTAGTCACAAAGGGCCACATACTGTATGATTCTATTTATATGAAATGTCCAGAGAGAGAAAGAATAATTAGTGGTTGCCAGAGGACAAACCACCAAGGAAGAATGGGATATGTCTGCGTAATAGGTACAGGGTTTCCACCTGAGGTGATGAAAATGGAATGAGTAGTGATAACGGTTACCCAACATTGTGAATGTACCTAGTGCCACTGAATTATGTATTTTAAAATGGTAAATTTCATGTTGTGTATTTTGCCTCAAAACAAAATAAAAACAAGAAAAAGCACCTAGTGTGGTCTTTGCCTGTGGTAGGTATCCCATGGCTGTTAACTTTAATGACTGTGCAGCATGATTGTGGTCAATCCCTGCTTCCAGGAATGGCAGACTGCACCCCAAACAAACACAGCCCTATGGATTTGTCAGCATTCTCTAGCTCTTTGGCCTAAGGATTAGCAACTATATTCCTTCCTCCTTTATGCTACATTTCACACCTGTGCCAAAAGCCTTCCACTGAACTCCTAAACCATTTCCTGCCAGCCACCAGAAAGTCAGACAGCTTTACTCTGTTCCAGTCAGTCAACACTGAGGAACAAGGGTAACCAATGGTTTCTACTGAGAGTTTGGTTGGGAGGTGGTAGTAAGGAGATACTTCACTGGACGATTATGATAACACAGTTACAAATATAAGATGATAAGGCATTATACTACTCTAAAATCACATATTTAACTCCAGACCAGGGTTTCTCTGCTTTGGCACTTTTGACATTTATAGCAAAATAATTCTTTGTTGTGGGGGGACACCCTGTGCGTTGAAGGATGTGTAGCAGCCTCCCTGGCTCCACCCACTGGACATCAATAGTATTGCCCAGTCCTGACAAAAATGTCTCCAGACATTTTGCCACCCAGGAGCAAAACAGCCCTCAGTTGAGAACCGCTGCTCTAAACTAAAATACTGAACATCCTATCTAACATTAATACACATAAAGTGATGAACCCTAGGGTTGGGCTGGGAAATGAGAGGACAGAGGAGAAAATAATCTAGACCACATTGGGTTGCTACTGGTCAATTTCCTAAAAGCTAATGTTTCCGAAAGGGCTATGGGAAAAACAGAAGAGAGGGCTGAAATTCTCAAAAGTGTATTCCTAGGACCAGAACAATGGCAACTCAAACTAAGGGGAGTTGGAGTAAAGCAGCAAGCACCTATTGATAAATGTAATGTCAATGTTCTGCTTATGCAATTCCATTGTGCATTAATGATACTCAAAGATAAGTGAAGAAATGCTACTGCTCTCCACATGCTGAATGCCCATCATGACTGCCCTTGGGATAATAAAAGCAGCTATTCAGACGTTGCCAGACAATAAAGACAGGAACTGCCTACCTGAGAGTCCCATTTTCTCCTTTGTCCAGACTGGTGAACCGGCTGTAGAGGCGGGTGATCTGACTGTGGGAAACTAGAGAACACAAAGTTAATCTGAGTTGGAGAAATTGCCCTCCACTCAAAATGAACCAGAGTGTGGCCCTTTGGAAGACAGCTGCCTTTCTGGTTCCAGCCCACCATTAAATGCTTCAAAGTGAATAGAATGGAGAGATGTGTCAACTCTAACTCATCTCTAGGTGTCAAACCAGAAAATTTAAAAGCTAAAGAATGAAAGGAGAAAATAAACTAAATCAAGGGCAATCAAATTGACTTCAGGAATAAAGTCTAGGCTAAATTTAAGACAATGATTTAAATGTCGGGTAGTTAAGATTTAATAAAACAAAGCCAAATTTAGTTTAAGAGGAAACTGAATCTTTCACCTTAGTATAGAGGCTATGAAAATACATGCTTTGGTTAAAAACATATACCTACTAAACAGTTTGATGTTTCAGGCTGGCTCTGAATCAGAACTGGTTAGGTAATTTGTATTGAATTAAAGATTGGGGGACATCAAGCAGATTCTATTTGTAAAATATGGTTTACTCCCGCACCAAGCATTAGTGGCTTTATCTTTCCCTGAGGACTGACCTTTGGGTAAAAGATCACCACAGCCTTGGGTCAGCCTTTCTTCTGTGACTGCATGGGCTCCACTGAGTTCCCAGTAAAGAAATAGGCTCCAAGAAGTCAAATCTGGCAATTCGTAGAATGGTCATGCTATCACTCAACAACTACAAGGAAGCGATTTTGCTATTTTGGATGAACTCAAGAATAAGCTGACAATTAAAGTGAGATAATAACTGCAGGTACACAATAAAACTTTGAAAATGCAAAAAGGAATTTCTGGGAAATAGTTTACTCGCCTGGCACACTGGAGGTAGGAGGGGGAAAAAAAGAGTTAATCAAAGGAGAAAAGAACACAGCTAAAAAGGGTGTGCCAAGTGTGGACTTTGTCCTCGGCTGTATCTTCAGAGGTTTAAGGGGTGGTTGAAGGAGTTCTAATGGTCATCCTCCTCCCCCAGCTCATGAAACAAAAATCTATTTGCAGTTTTAGGAACAATGGGACAAAGGAAACCGGGGCACAGCAGGAGAAGCAGGAAGTGAGTGGCCCAGAGCTAGGCTGAAAGGACATACTAGGGGTAGCTGTAAATTCTTCAGCATCAGGTTTCACCCCAAGAGGGCTGTGTTCTGTACTAGCTCTTAAGGAGAGCAGAGAGCAGAAAGGGAGGCAGAATCATGGCAGAGCCAGCAAGGGTCTAGGCATGGAAGATGCCATTTTGGACCTTTCTGCCAGCCAGGCGGGTGAGAACAGCTTGTGGAAAGAGTACACTCTTGTGAGGGTCAGGCTGACAGACTTTGATTCCATTCATGGCACCAGTGCTTAACAGTCAGGGATGAGTGACCTGGATTGTGGAGAGAACTGAGTCCATGAGAGAAGAGTGCTTGGCAAAGTGTCTGGCACATGCTAAACACTCCAGGTTAGCTATTATCATCATCCTTACATCGTGCGCCTGAAGGTACAGTTTTATTGCTGCACTAATTAATCTTCACTTTTCTCCTGACTCTGCCAGCCACAGCCTTTTTCTTCAGGAACCTAACCAGTTTACCCTGGCTCTGGCCATGGGCCTCCAAGGCTGATTGCAACTGTAGCTCCCTTTAGTTTAACAAAAATAAGTCAGTTAAAGAATTACTAACTTTCCCAAGAGATTTTTTTGAAAAAATACAAAATATATTCACAATATTAGCACCACTCTTTAAATTTCTTCATATACCACCTAATTACAGTCACTTGTATACTTCACACAGTCATAATAGCTTACTTTTCATTTATTAATTCATAATTTTTTTATATTGTTTTGGAGTCCTTTTTAATAACTGCATATTACATAGTCTACTGGATCAGTTTTAGTACTTACAGGATTATATACTTCAGATTACTTTTCTTTAATAAGCAAAACATCCAAATTGTGTTTCTTTTTATACTAAGTTTTCTTTTAACTTGAGAAAATAATCCATGCACATGGTAAAAATGTAAATAATACAAAAGTGTGGACAATGAAAAGCCTTCCTAACAACCAAGTTCCCTAATCTCCCTTGCCAGAGGCAAACACTATTACCAATTTCTTGTGAATCCTTCTAGAAATTCCATATGTGTGTATATAAGTATGTACAGCTATTTACACAATTTTAAAACTGAAAAGAATATTGTCATATAGTCCAACCCCTTCAACTAACAAATGAGCCATTAGACATCTTTCTAATCTGGATCATCTGAAAGAACTGGGTACTGAAACCTCTTATAGTTTGATTTTCTAAATTCCCATAGGAAGTACTGATACCCCATATTTCAGAGAAAAAAGAATCAGTTTATGGTTGCTTGACTTCATAATGTACCAATATGTTAAAAATAAACATGTAAACAAGTAGCCAAACACCCATAAAACTGTTATGTTCCAGGACAAATGTGGGCTAAATGGAAATCAGTGGAGAAATGTAAAACCAAATGTCAACTTGTAACACAACTCAATATGGTCACATCTCAATCTAGCTCCTAAATTTCAGAACTAGTGTTACAAGGATAGTTACAAAGAGCTTTGTTAACAACCAAGAAAAGAGGAGAAAGAAGGAAAGAACGCTTTAATATAGGTGCTAAACCCTCTATAAAGTAACCTTTAAGGCACAGAGCTCCGAACAACTTCAAGGGGCAGAAAGGTATCAGAACAGCCACGAATGAAGCAGGACAAGTTTCTAGTAAACTATTCTCACCAGAAGCACTTAGGCTAGCAGGACAGGTGTCCAAAACCTGCACCATTCTTGGTAACCCAAAGGAAATCTCAGAAGTTGACAATTACTCTCAGAAAAGGTTGTGTACATGCACATGCAATGAACGAAGCTATATTTTTCTCCATTGATGGAGAAATTATTTTGTATCAGTGAAAGATTACTTGAAAGACCCTGATAATCTTGCTGATTCACAAACCTTTCTATCATCACTACCTCACGCTCAGAGGAGGAAGGCATTTCAGAAAGTGCCAAGCACTAAGGAGGAATGGCAGAGAGAATAAAGATGAAAATAGAGTAAGAAAAAAGCTACAGGCAGATCTTAGAGATATTGCAGGTTCAGTTCCAGACCACTGCAATAAAGCAAATACCACCACAAGGCAAGTCAAATGCATTTTTTGGTTTCTCAGTGCATATATAAAAGTTATGTTTGCACTATAAGGCAGTCTATTAAGTGTACAATAGCATTATGTCTAAAAAAACAATGTACATACCTTGATTGAAAGTACTTTATTACTTAAAAAATGCCAACCATCCATCTGAGCTTTCAGCAAAGGAATAATCACTGATCACAAATCACCATAACAAATATAATATTAATGATGAGAAATTAAAAATACTGTGAGAATTATTCAAATGTGACACAAAATGTGACATAGAGACATGAAGGTAGCAAATGCTATTAGAAAAATGGCACAGACAGACTTGCTGGATTCAGGGTTGCCACAAATCTTCAATTTGTAAAAAACACAATGAAGCGAAGCACAATAAAAAGAGGTATGCCTGGATTTTGCCCTTGTCTTTATCTGAAATCTTAATGCAGAACAGATTGATAACCTAGAGAAAGCACTCAGGTGCAACCAAAGTTACTCTAGATAAAAGACTGATAAATTGAAAGCTGCATCCCTAACCATTCCTTTTGAATGCTCCACACCTCAACATTTCCCGTTTTCCCTGGCAGGAGGACTTCAAGAGCTAGCCTACTCTTTTAAGGGAACCTACAGATTAAAAGAGACTTAAAAAACATAAAAAACAAACAAACCCCAATACCTTATTATTGGAGAAAGCTGAATATGGACTGAATGGTAGATAATATAGATTTACTGTCAACTTTCTTATGTGTGATAATGGTATTATGGGTATGTAGGAAAAAAATCCCTATTCTCAGGAGATACATGCATAAGTATTTAGGGGTGAAAAGCTCTGATATTCCAACTTTCAAATGGTTCATCAAAAAATATACGTAAGTAGATAAAGCAAATATAGCAAAAGGTTAGCAACTTTTGAATTAAGGAAGACGGTGTGTGGATGTTCATTATATTAACTTTTCTGTAAATTTGAAATTTTTCATCGTAATAAATTGGGGAGGGAAATACAGAGCTTTACAAAATCACTTAACCTCAAACCAGCTGATAGTGTTACTTATATGTGCATTTCCATTTCAAATAGGAGCCACAAAACAGCAGGGTCTTCTGTACATACAGAACCTCCAGAAACTCTGGCATAGCAGTTGAGGGCAACTAAGGGGTCCTGCATTTTGAGATAGTAGCAGCCTGAAGTTGTGGAAGTTGTAGGTAATGTAACTTCCACTTACTTCCTAACCTAGGATATTCTTCTCAAGCAATTGCCTTTTTCCAGGCTTGTGCTTGTCGCACTATGTACAGAGAAACCTGCACCTGTTCTATCATCACTACACACTTTCAAACAAACAAAATCTCACCAGCCTGTAAAACTTACTTCCTAAACCTGTTCTATCTACACCCACTCCATACCACATGACACACATCAGAAGCTAGAGACTAAAAATAAAGCAATCTGTATTCATTACTACTACCCATGAATTGTTTCCACAGATTAAGAGGCTATTTTAAAATGTTCTTAAAAAGAAAGCTTTGAAGTAATTCACAGCCAGATTAGCGCTCAGATTAATTGAACTAAGGGTGGAGATTACAGAAACTTCAAGACATTTATGACTTTCCCCCAATGACAACTTTCATTTAAATGAGCTTTAACTCATGGAAATGTTTAAATGTGAAAGAAGGCAACAGAAGACAGTATAGCAAATGTTTTATGCCAACACAAGTATTTTTAGACACTGTTTTTTAAACTGTTAGAAGCATTAGGATTTCTATTCTCTCAAAAGTTTGATTTCCTTAGAATTGGGAAAAATAACATCTGTACTTGATTCTTAATCCAATGCCCTCTGAAAACAGGAAAAATATAAAATATCACCTCCCCAATTATATCACTCTAGACACAGTTTTTATAACTAGCACATGCAAATGTATTTTCCCAATGAGACGATTAATTGTTAACTATGGTTCAAAATAATGGTGAACACTTACCTGGTAGTTATGTAACCCAAACAATAGTCTAAGTATTTTACACAATTGATCTCATTTAATCATTATAAGAATCCTATAAAGTAGGTACTATTATTCCCATTTGCAGATGACAAAACTGAGGTTTACAAGAAATTCTTACCTAGGCTTACTTTTTCAAAAACTTAGGATTAAATTTCAAATACCATCTAAACTAGTCACACATGAATTCTAATCAATTAAGATTTACAAATGTTTAAATATAATCATCAATTTCAATACACAGCTTTCATACTGAATATAAAGTCAGTTTTCCCCAGTAATCCTACATTTTCTTACTGGGGAAGGAAGTAGTGTAATATATCCTGTACTTGTTCTTAACTTCAAGTGTTTCTGACTGATAGCTCCCTAAACTCTTAATGGAGATGAAAACAGGACAAATTCCACTTCTCTACCCCACCCTCAGGCTATATGTTGTTTTTCTTCTTCTAAACCATCTGCAACTTGCTAAAAATTACTGTTTTAAAATTCTGCTGATGGGCACAAACTGGATAAACTGATGTTCCAGGGCAGAGGAATGATGGTGTAGGAGGCTGGTGGAGAATGCTCTTGGAAGCCACCCAAAACACCCTAGGTTCACTTATCCAAATCTAATCCATTCATGCATTTATCAATACCCAGTGCCCATCCTCCACAAGGACTCTCTCTTCCGTGAGTTCTGAAGCTGGGTGTCACCTAATTTCAGCTACTTTATGTCAAGATGCTAATCCTAATTTTTGTGGGTTTATCTCCACTACCAGTTTGTTGGTGTCTTTTGTCATCATCTGCTTTGAGCACTGAGCATAGTACAGACAGTGAAAAAATTCAGTAAGTACTTATTTCACCAGGTTTTCTGGCTCAAAACATACATTGGCACTGGTTGTGGTTGAGAATCTCCCTCAATCTTGATTCACTTTTTGGCAACTAGGACAATAGTCTTCCCTGAAGTAGTTTATTCAGTTCATCTACAAGTTGCACAGTAAAATAACCCAGAGTCCTACAGCAATGCAGGCTCTTTTCAATTGGTCAATTGTAAATAAACTAGAATGAGATTACTGCTCTCTTCATTTTGAGACAAAAATAGCTTTTTCCCACTCTATGGTTTGCATTTCCTCATTATGTAAGTCTTTTTATTTTAAGCAGGGATGTATTAACTCTGGTGTCATCTCGGCCCTAAAGTAGTTCTTATTTTTTTCAAGTGTGGCCAGAGGCTATGGCCACAACATGTAATAAAATTGCTGAATCCAGACTGCCTACATTTCTATTCTGGGAGTCAGAGTAAGTCATAAAACGACCATAAGGTCAAGTGCCAAACAAGTACTGCACCTTAGAAACAGCTAAGTGCTGTGATTCATCCGGAAATCATGAAAAGGACTGCATTGGTAATAGGTGGTGAGTGTATCATCATTAAGGTCTTTATGAAGAAGCTTACTGACCATACACTAGGAGATGGTGAAAGCAGTAAACCAATCTGACAAAGGGGTGGGGCTAGATAACATCCCTTCCAACTTGAAGATTCTGGAACGCTGAATTTATCAGAAGAACAATATTTAATTGATCTCAGGCCAGCAGGGCCTGAGTAATTCTGTAGTTCCACCAGCACCCTTCAGTATTATCTGCATAGAGGTCATTGAGTTACTTACTGGTCACCTCATTATCAAAGACAGGTATCATAAGGACACAGCTCAGATGCTTATGAAGCTGTGTAATGTAAAATACAAGAGTCATAATGCATTACTGAGAAGAGAAAATAATGTATGCTTTATCAAAGGCTATACAAATGTGTGATGGTATTTTACAGAGCATCTGAATTTCCAAAGCCCTGTTGTCCCTTTGTTTAGGTTAATGAGGGAAAGACTGAACAATAAAACAGTCGGTTCCTAGTACAAATTCACACTGAGAATTTTGGAGACATCCTATTTCTACAGCGACTGCATAAAATACACCACCGAGTAGAAAATCATTATATCTGTAATTAGGACAACAAGCATCCTACTAAAAAACGGGTGGTCACAGTATCTGTGCTTTTTCTCCACAAGTTCAGAATGAAAGAAGAATTAAAGAACTCTCAGACTCTCAAACCCCTGATTCTGTAAAGGTCTCCTGTCAACAGGTCATGTCTTCCAAAGCCTTACTATACAATCTTGATTTCTGGGTTTATTTTTCCAGTTGTGGCAATAATTTGTTTGTGATTTCCCACGGTTGTCAGGGGTTTTAAGTCCTTGCCCAGAAACGTCACAGGAACGGTGTGTTTTCTTCAGGATCCATCCAGAGTTCCTGAATTTGAGGTTGGTGCGAGAAAAAATTAAGGAAGGGAGTTCGGGACCTTCCGGGAGCAGGAGGACCAGAAAAGAGCGGTGTCTGTGCTCTACGAGTGATCGCGACTCCCACCTTTGCGGGGAAGGGCAGCCCCACAAGAGCCAGACCCCCGCTCAAGGAAGCTGTAACTGGGAGAACAGGTCCTCCAGCCCTCGGCCCCGACGCTCCTGGGCAGGAGGCTGCCCAGGACCCTCGCAAACTCCCGGCACCCCAGGTCCGAACCTCAGCCACAGCCGGTCCTGAGGCCGGCGGGAGACGTCCGGCCGCGTTCCCACCCCCTACCCGAACTCACAGCCAGTCTCCTTCTTGATCTCCTCGAGCTCTTCGTCCCGCAGTAACGTGGAGGCCCGAGACCCCATCACCGGGCCGAAGCTCCTCCGGGAGCAGGGGCGCCTGAAGCGACGGCGGCGGCGGGAAGGAGACAGGAAGGGGAGAAGGGCCCACGGGTCAAGAAGCGAGAGCGCAGTGTTCCTAGTGCGGACCCGGGAAGGAACCCAGGGCTGGCGAGCGGGGGAGGGCAGCCCCAAACACCAGCCAATTAAGAGCGAGGCGGCGCCCGGCGCAGGAGCCAACGTCGGCTCTCCGAGCTCCAGCCCCTAAATGAATCAGCCACGCGCCGGACTGGGTCTTGCTAAAGACAGGCCACGCCCCCGGAACCGTGGTGCCACCGGTCTTAAAAGGGCAATGCCACCCTGGCCCCAGAGACATCAGTTAAAAGGGCAACGTCATCGACCCAGCGTTTTACAAAAAACAAAGCAGCGGCAGGCACAGTAGACGACCCGTTTCTCATAGAACTCTAACACTAGGAATCTCACCGTAAAGGTGGCACGGATTGTGCAAACAATAAAAATAGACAAGACGTTGCTCAGGTGTCGCTAGGGTGTGTCTCTTGGGAACTGCATGCTGGGACTTGCACGTCCCTATTTTTCTGGGCGGCCCTCTCTCCTCCTGGACGCAGGGGGCGCTCGGGAGCCGGCCTCAGGGCCACTCGCCGATTGGCTCCTCGGGAAACAGCGGACTTGTTCCTTGGTCCTGCTGGCGTCCGCTTCGCCACGCGGGGATCCCGCGAAGCCCGCTTTTCCCAGGTTTGGGGACCGTCCTTTGATAACCGCCACCGCGGGCTTGGAACTTCCCGAGGGTTCTTCCTTAACAGCAATCCCCATTTTTTTAAAATTCAAAACTGACGCTCGAGGAACTCACCATTTGGCTGAAATTGGGACAGGCTTTCCCAAACTTCCTTCGGAAAAAATAGCCTAAAAGCAGAGAAGTGAATTCCTAGCGTATGGCCCGCCGTTTATTTGAAGTTTCTTGTTTTGCCTTAGAAATAAGAAGTTTGCATTTTATTATTCTGTCGTATTTTTATTTTCTTGAAAACGTTTAAAGCCATCCGTTAAATTAGTATACCCTCTAGGGTGAACTATTAATTTTCCTGTGGGTTCAATGCCTTTACACCGCCTTCCACCCCCTCGAGTATTACTTGTGTACACAATCGGTTTGAGATAGGAAATAATCAAATTGTGACCCTTGTCACTTAGCACCTAAGCTAGGCTTTGTGTGAGGCCGAGGTTATAGGCTGAGTTGTTTTCTTGATTAACCTCGTCTGACCTAGTGACATCCGTCCGCCTTCGTAATGCGGAGTGTGGCACTTTGGATGTGTTCCTTTAGAAGCCACAGGAGCTTCTTTTTATCTTGCAAGTTTGGATATGGTAGACCAACTTTGATCCCAGCAAGATGAATGTCCCTTTTCTGAGTCTCCCTTGATGCTCATCTCTAGATCCTAACCTTACTACTTTTTCCTTCCTTAACTTGGTTCTTAACCTTTCGCAGTTGTCCTGTCAAAGCTTTCTTTGCTTTATGTTAATGTTTTTCTGATCAATGTTTCTTAAATTTCCTTATTGTCCAAGCACTATATAAACTTTTATGTATCTTTTAAAAATATAATTTTTGCCTCTATTAAGGACTGTTTTTTCCAGTTTTATGTCCTCTTTTGTTTCTGTAAAAGTTTCCCGGTAGCCTGGTGAATTGACTTGAACAAAAAAGGATGATTTTGTCAGATATGATCGTGACTTGTTTTATGGTCTCCCTGGATGCTTAACAATTGGTCTTGTACTGGACTACACACATCCTCCACTGGGGACCTGGTTTTAGTTCAGGTTCCTTTTACCTTCTAGCTGTGTGACTCTGGGCAGGTGTCTTAAATCTTTAAGCCTCAGTTTCCACATTTGTAAATTAGGTAATGGTTGGAGGCAACAGTATTTGTGAAAGCACTTGCTAGACCTTAAAATATAAAAATACTAGTTGTCTGGCTCAAAGTAACCTCTCATCTCCATCCTATATGTCTTTGTTATTTCATCAATTTTTATGGTTAAAGTAAATTGCAAAATTCACTGGTTGACTATTCCTAGTGTAGCAAAGGCAAGAAGCTTTTAAAAGTAAACCACTGTAGAGGAACATATTAGCTGACATTCTAAATACAAGAACATCCAAATAACAAGATTGTTTTAAAAGATACTCTTAAAGAAAGGATTCATCTTTAATCACAGTTTTACACTAAAGAATGTAAGAGTATTTACTATGAATGACAGTAGACATTCCTATACAGGGTGAAATTTCTTCTTTGTACATTTCTGCATTATCATCGTTTACAATGAGCATGCATCATTTTTACAACAGTTGAGTCTTACAAAACCAATGTATGGCACGTGGCACGTGGCAGTCAGGTTGCACATGACTGGCTGATGACAATAACAGCAACCCAGTCCCTGAGCAGTGACCAGGGTGGTGGAATGGTCCTTGAAGCAACATGGCAGCTGGATTGGTAATGTGTAAATGGTGATAGTTCCAGTTCATTTATGCTTCGGGTAACAAGGTCAAACTCTGGCAATGTTACTAATCTATAAGAGACTAGATCCAGAAGAGGTTAGATCCCAGACATTTCAGATAAACAATTTTTTGCAGCATGTGTTGACATGTGTTCACCAATGTCAGTTAAAAAAATTTGTTCAGGGTTTTTTTCTTTTTTTGGTTGGTGTTAAAGATTCATATATGTGCCATTAAAGAGCCTCTAAATGTTCGGCTCATTCCAGTTAGCTAAGAAAGGAATGGTAGTATTACCCCATTTTATAGACAAAGAAGCCAAGACTACCTTGCCCCAAGTCTTATGGTTTCAGTTTTCCATGTATAGAGTTGGTGTTTATGATGATCCTTTTCTTGTTATCATTCCTGAAAAGAAGAACAAAACTGAATTACACTCGTATTTGTCCCTTCCAGGTATGGGAGAAGGAAAAATAACTCTTTCCTCCTCAAATATTTTTAAAGTCACAGATCTCTTTTGTTTTCTAGTGTCTGGGTACTTAAAGAAGATTATTTGAAGACTACTTTTGGAATCAAACAGCATGGATCCCAGCAGTGACTACTACTTCCTCAATCAGATTTTGTGGAGAAGGGTGAAACTCACATTGGTCTGTGGCATCTTTGAGGGAGTGCTCCAGCATGTGGACCCTAACAAGATTGTTGTCCTAAAGAAAGGTCTCGTTTTATTTCTGTTAATATTCTCCCTTTTAAGAGATTAAAAACTGCATTTGGTTATGGCTTTAGGCTCCATTTTAGCAACTTAGAGGGAGGCATTATTCCTATTTTAGGGAAGGAGTGAGAGGAAGATTAAAATGCTATTTTTCCTAACAACAACATGGCTGCATCTGCTGGCTTATTCCCACTTCCATACTTGTATTGACATGATGATGGAAATTTCAATTTATCAAATTTTTTAAAATGAGGCATACCTTTTAATTTCTTTCCATATGCACCTTGAAATAAAAAATGACCACTCTATTAGATAGAATTGTTTTCAGACAAATTCACTAAGATAATAAATGGTTAATTTTTCTCATGCAAAAAGAAGTCCAGAGGTAGGCTGTTGAGGCTAGTGCAGTGGCTCAAAGATACCAGGAAGGACCAGATGTCTTGTGGTCCTGCCCTGCCACCTCAGTGATCATCTGTTATTCTCATGGTGACAGGATAGCCTCTACACCAGCTAGCTTCAATTACAGTTAATTATAAAGGATACAACTCAGGAACAGCCAAATGGAAGAGATGCATAGGGCAACATATATGGGAAGGGGCTCAGTTTCCATGCCCTCTCTGGGTCTCCCATCCTCTTAGTTCCTCCATGTGTTCATTTTGAAGCTCCAGTACATAGTGTTTATTCAGTTAGAATATTGACTTGCTAGGGTAATTGTTTTCCTTGGATGATAAATTTCAAGTTCACCCTTGCAACATTTATAAATGGCATTTGAGAGATTAGCCATATTATGAGTTAAATATGGACTAGGATGGGACTATACTAGGCTTTTGCAATATTAATTCATTTATTGATCATTTATTGATAGTTTTATATCCCAGATACTGCTAGGTACCAGGGATATAAATAAGAATAAACATGGTTCCTGTCTTCAAAAAACTGTCTAGTAAGGAGACAGATACAAGTGAGAGATAATGCAGTGTGATATCCCCTCTGATAGAGGGATGCCCAATTTGCTATGGAAACACAAAGTTTAACTCATTTAGATGTGGGAGCGGTAGGTTTAGGACAGGCAAGAAGGCTTTCCAAAGCAGGATTTGATGGTAGAAGTTCATCAGGATGAGTAGGAGTTAACTGGATGGGAAAAGAGGGGAAGGTTGATTTAAGCTAGTGGTTCTCAAACTTTATCTGTGCATCAGAATCACCTGGAAGCCTTGTTAAGACTTCCAAGGCTGGGCACCGCTGTGAGGGTTTCTGATTCTTCAGGTGTGGGATGGGGCGTAAGAATTTGCATTTCAAACAAGTTTCCTGGCAATGCTGATGCTGTGCTGGGCAACCAAATTAAGAACCATTGTTTTAGGTAGAAGTAAAGCAGCATGTCCAGAAATACAGAGACATGAAAACTTGGTGCATTCAGGAAACCTAATTTCAGTATGAGGATGTAATGAGAGAGAGTAGCCTTGAGAAGTAAGTATGGGACAGATTAGAAGGACTTTTCATATCATAGCATTGGGTACTTCTGAATGTAATGAAGGACAATTTGAAAGATTTTTTTAAGTGGGAGTCCTGTGATTTTTCAAGCTAGTTGCCTGAAATTTTTAATGCCGTGCCAATTAGGAACCATGCAGCTGCTAGAAACAAATTCATTTCCAGTGGCTTAAACAAATTGGGAGTTTTTTCTCTCATATAAGAAGGCAAGCAGGGCTATTGTGACTTTCCCCAGAATTTTCAGGGGATTTGGGATTCTTCATCTTTCTGCTCTACCATCTTTAACATGTCGCTTCAAACCTCAAGATCATATGATAGCTGGTGGAGTTACAGGAGGAAGAGGAAAGATTGGGAAAAGGGTGTTCCTCTTAGCTAAGTCAGTCCCTTTAAAGAGGTGCCCTGGAAGTTCAACATACCACCACTGTCTTCAGGGAGACTGAACACATTTAAATGGCATGGAGTGGGCAATAATTAGTAAATGCCACATGCTTATTCAACAAAGCATTCAGTGTACATTAAATATTTTGGTGTATTTCTCTCTAGTTTTTAATTACACAGATTATATACAACTGACATGTTAGGAATATCACATGTACCTTTTAAAATTAACACTATAATAAGCATTTTCTCATTATTTAAAACGAATTTAATGGCTAAACATTTTAAAGTAAGTGGCTTAAAAACTTTAAAATTTTTGTTATATTTGATAATTAGAAGTTATAACAAATAATTATAAAATACAATTTAGTATTTATTATATTTGATAATTATTTTCCTAGAGATAGTTCTTAGATGTGAAATTACTGGGTGAAAGTTATAGACATTTTAAATGTTCTTGATGTCTGTTTTCAGATAGCTTTTCAATAGGGTTATGCCTTTTTGTTACTAGTTGTGTGTGAGTGAATTGCAGTGAATAATCTAGCACTGGATTTTAAAAGATGCTGATATGTAGCTTTCCTTAATTTTTGCTAATTTTATAGTCAAAAAGTGGTATTTCATTTTGACATGTTTATAAATATTCCTAAAGAGGTCGAACATATTTCTTTACATCTGTTCGCTAATTTTATGTACTATTTGCACAAAGCATAGAGCGACATCAGTATGACGGCAGTGTGAAGGAGGGATTGAAATAGAAGCTAGAGGCAAGGAGAATAGACAGGGAACTATTCAGACAATCAAGCAGCCCAATAAAGGGAAAATGATGGGGGTCAGAGCTACGGTTTGACAAGGAATGGAGAAGAGAGGACAGATTCCAGAATGTTTAGGCGATGGGATAAGTAATCTAGTAATCAATTGGACAATCAAAGAGCAGTGGAAAAATGACTCCTACATTTACGACTCAGAGGATTAGGTGAATAGTGCTGTTGTTAATTGATAGAATGCACAGAGGAGCAAGTCTGTTGATTACTGGGAGAAGATAGTGTTTCAGTTTGAAAATCTTATAGTGGTAAGTCAGCTGTTAGTCATTTGGAAATGTAAGTGGAGCTCAGAGAAATAATCCATACTGGAGAAATAATGGATGTCAGGACAACTAGGAAGTGGATGTGATCATTCAAGAAGGAAAAAGAATGAAAAACCTAACCCTGGGGTCTATCAGTGTGTACGGGGCAAGCAGAGGTGGTAGAACAGCTAAGGAGACTGGAAGGAACATATCAGGGAGGCAGTGTAACACTGGTTTGGAGATGTGTATTAAAATCCCTGAGACCTGGGTTTGAATCCTGGCAGTCTTTTACTAGTAATGTGACCTTGAGCAAGTTTTCAACCTCTCTGAGGCTCAGATTCTTTCATAATGGAGATAATGAAATGCCTATCTCTTTATGTTACTGGAGAATTAAATGTAGACAAATAATTTGCGTGGTGCCTGATGGGTGGATGCTCAGTTGAGTAGCTCTAGGTAATTTGTAGGAAAAGAACAAAACATGAAGAGTCTCCTGTAAGCCAAAGAAGAAAGGAGAAAGACAACTGTATTATCAAAGGATTCATGGAAGCCAAGTATGATAAAACTGTAAGCTTTTTTTGGATTTGACAAAGAGGCAGTTGTGTTCTTTGGCCTCAGTAAAAATGTATTCAGTGGCATAGTGAGGGTAAAACTCAATTATTTGGGATTGCTGAGAGATATGGAAATATACAGATGGTGTGAGTGCTTCCATCTAGAAAAATGACAGCATATTGTATATATGACATCTAACCTTCTAACTCCCTTACCTACTCGCTGAAGAGCCCTGTATTTGGGCCAGGAGTTGGATTGTTGTCTGAACAGTTAATATTTTCAAGCATGTAGCATGACATGGAACAGGGTGTGGACTCTGGAGGTAGTCAGCTGCCTTAAAATTTTCTCTGGAGTTAGGTGGAGTAAAAAAATTCCATAAAAATATAATAAATAGATAGTCCTTAGCCCTAAAGGGCTTAGGATATTCTTGGGAGAGGTTTAAATTCATTGTCTTCTATTGCCCTTTTAGTTTCTCTTGGACCACTCTGGGATTCCCTCTGTTCTTTATACTACTTGTTTCAAGGTTACAGCTTTGTAATTTGTTATCAACTCTTCATTCCTTTGGGAAAATAATTTGGGACTTTTTATAAAACTCAGATTTGGGCACTTTTGAGAGGCATCATATTTTCTTACAGTTTAAAGGAATACTATTTTTTATTAACCATATGAATCGTTTTCTATAACAGTGAAGAATGTGGAGACTGGTCGAAGTGTCCCAGGAGTGAAGATGTTTTTTGGGCATGAGATTGTGAACGGTGAGTGTTTCATGTTCCCTGAATGCTCGTTTTGGGATTTGTGGTAGTTCTCAGCTCTGCCTCATTACAATATTATTAAAAGAAAGAAAAAAAAGAGATGTTACCTCGCCTTTAATATTGCATTGATGAATACTTAAAGTTGGTATTTGAGAATTAACCCTTATCTTACAATTTGGTGGGTACTGTGAGAAGAATAGTCTTAAAGAATTTCAGCCATCTTGGTTTTCCAATGTGAGGACTGCTGGTGCTCAGGAATCAGGAATTGTCTGGCTCAGTGAGTGAGTTTAACACTGCAGGTTCACAGTGCATTCATACTCCCTTATCTAAAACCTGTGGCCAAATGTTCCAGAATTCAGAATTGTTTTGGATTTTGGGAAAACGTAACAGGGGATATACTGTTTGTGTTACATAACACCTCAGGCCAGTCTGGGCAGCAATCTGCCATCACATTTCTACAGAGAAATGGGTGGAATAAGATAGGACTATAAATACTATGACAGTTCAGATTTTGCTGCCAAAAGACTTACACAAAAAAATTTTGGTTTTCAGAGCTTTTTGGATTTTGGAATTGTGGGAAACAGCCTTGTTCTTGATTTCTGCCAACTAAAGCCATTTAGCAAGAGTAGGTCCAATTATTTGCCTAAAAGAGACATATAGAAGGTCATCTGGTCAGTGAGCTTCAGACAAGCCAGCTGGGATAAGAAAAAAGATTGAGAGCAAAAACTGTTGTTGATTTCAAGAGCCCAAAAGCAGAAGCCCTCCACGGAGGAGTAAAGATCAATGCAGAGAGGAGGGGTTAGGAAATCTGCATTTCTTGCCACTGGGGCAGATATAATGAAAGGAAAGGAATCCTGTAAATGAGAGATTGCTGCTGCTTGAAAGATTACTTTGTTTTGTGAGAGAGGTAGAATTTAGGGAGAGATGAAAACCTCACCAAGTTAATGACTGCCCAACCAGACCTACTTCAGGACAGACAAGTCCAGCCAGCTGTCTAACTGTCCTTTCTCACTGGTCTGCTGCTATAAACATTTGTCCCTTGAACAGCTTTTTATGAAGGCAGTGATAGTGGTGGCGGCGGTAGGATTTTTCATTGTGTTTGAACCATTAGCCTTTGCAGTGTAACAGAACTCAGGACTAGTACACAGCTAAGCTGTGGATGTGGGTAAAGGGAAGCAGAGGCATCAGCACTACCATCTCTCTAACTCGGGAAAAGGCTGACCTACTGACCAGCTTTGTGATCTGTACACACAGGTTTCATCTCCTAAATTTTTTCTCACACTTTAACCTTTGTTCAGAATTTTTAAGCTCAGAGGATGGCCTTCTTCTTTGCCCTGTGGCTTAGTGAGCCATGAAGGGGTCTCCTTGAAAAGCACCTTGAATAAGAATTATCAAGATGAAGGATAATAATTGACTAGTCAGTGAGAACTTCACTTTTTCTGCCCCAGATTCAACACTTTTAGCTAATGCAGGGGAAAAAGACATTTGCATCAGTGGCCCTGAGAGGCCTTTTCCCGGAAAAGTACCCGAATGTATTTAATGGCATAAAAAATGCCATTAATTACAAAGTACACTATTAATGTTCCTACCCTAAGAAAGAAAAAAAGTTGCCAATTATACTATCATGTGCACTTAACTGTAAATCATATCTAATTCAGAACTGTTTAAACTGTGCATCTTAGAGTCAGTGACATACAGTATTTCCCTATATTCTCTGCACCATTAAGTTAAAATTAAATAGTTTCAGAATCTCTGAAGAATGTTTCTCTCGTGTTTCTTTTGTAATTTCCAGCCTAGCTTTTATTGCTTTTCATTTCACTAAACTATGAATGCACCAGCCCAGGAGAGTGAAAGGGACAGATTTGTCAATAATATGAGAGGAAAACCCCCAAACAGTGCATACTGTAAGGGAAGATGCATTAGGATGGGAATGAATAGGAAAAAAGAGATCTCTAAAATCAATATGCATAACCGCAAGGTACCCTGAAACAAAAATGGTAAAGGGAACATGTAGAGAGGTTCCTAATCCCTCTCAAAGACTAAGGAAGCTATAAAGGGACATAATATAGGAGCTTCAGTATTTTACATAGTCTTTTCTGCTCTATTTCTTGCTGGTCATTGAAGGCCTCAATAGACTAACATTTAATTTCCAATTACTGCTTGTGGTAGATAATCAAACTGTGCATTGAGGTGGAGGGAGGCAGGGGACTGGTTAATCGCTTTCCGATCAGCTCTGTTGGAAACCATTTGGTTATTTTACAGTGGAACTACTAGATGAAGTGGAACTACTAGATGAAGTGACAGAAAAGGCATCTTCTGTTAGGTATGAAGGAATAATTTTCTTAATTATGATTTTACCCAAATGTACACAATAGGGTAGAAAGCCTTAACTAATTCATTAGCTGCATAATCCTAAAATGGCCTTAGGTGCTAGAAATGAGAAGAAATAGATGGATGTGTTCTTCCATCTTTAGATGGTGTCTTCTAATCAATGGAAGCAGTGGATGAATGGCCCCTCTATGAAAGGGAGGTCCAGAGTCCCTACCATTGCTTTGTGGCAAAATCTGTATATGGCATCAGTAACAAAGAACAAGTTCACCTGAGTGTTGTTTTTTGCAAGCATAGTCTAAATGCAGAAAGAACCAGGAAGGATGGAATGAAAAATGAAAATCTAAATGTATGTGAGCATCCTTCTCCTGTCCCTGAGTTGTCAACCACCTCTCTGCTGAATGACCTCAAGTACAGCCCATCAGGTGAGTACCAGGGCTCTGATGTTCTAGGCTTTCTTTATTGTGGTCCAGAGCTCTTTGGAGTTGGCATATCCCCCAGTTAAAGTTCTATATGGAATACTCAGCTAGGCCATTGCTTCTAGGCTCTGAATTAAGATAAAATATCATAATTCATTTATTTATTATTTGAGGGCATACTATATGCCAGACATTGGGAAAACTGAAGTGTGGTGTACCTACCCTCACTGAGCTTTGGTGAAGAAGACAGATATTAAATAAGATAAATGAATAAAATATATAGAATGATAGTACAAAATGGAAGAACTATACAGCAAAGGACACCATCAGCAGAACAAAAAGACACCCTACAGTTTGGGAGAATATATTTGTAAATGACATATCTAACAAGGGGTTAACATCCAAAATATGTAAAGAACTCACACACCTCAACACCCAAAAAGCAAATAACCCGATTAGAAAATGGGCAGAGGATATGAACAGACACTTCTCCAAAGAAGAAATTTAGATGGCCAACAGGCACATAAAAAGATGCTCCACATCACTAATTATCAGGGAAATGCAAATAAAATCACAATGAAATATCACCTCACACCAGTTACAATGGCCAACATAGAAAAGAATAGAGACAACAAATGCTGCCGAGGATGCAGAGAAAGGGGAACCCTCCTACACTGCTGGTGGAAATGTAAATTAGTTCAACAATTGTGGAAAGCAGTATGGAGGTTCCTCAAAAAAATCAAAATAGAAATACCATTTGACCCAGGAATTCCACTTGTAGGAATTTACCCAAAGAATGCAGGAGCCCAGTTTGAAAAAGACAGATGCACCCTTATGTTTATTGCAGCACTATTTACAATAGCCAAGAAATGGAAGCAACCTAAGTGTCCATCAGTAGATGAATGGATAAAGAAGATGTGGTACATACACACAATGGAATACTATTCAGCCACAAGAAAGAAACAAATCCTACTATTTGCAACAACATGAATGGAGCTAGAGGGGATTATGCTCAGTGAAATAAGCCAGGCAGAGAAAGACAAGTACCAAATGATTTCACTCATCTCTGGAGCATAAGAACAAAGCAAAAACTGAAGGAACAAAAGAGCAGCAGACTCACAGAACCCAAGAATGGACTAAGAGTTGCCAAAGGGAAAGGGACTGGAGGTTGGGGGGTGGGAAGAGAGGGAAAGGTGGAATAATGGGCATTACAATTGGCACACATAATGTAGGGGGGAGCACGGGGAAGGCAGTATAGCACAGAGAAGACAAGTAATGATTCTATAGCATCTTACTACGCTGATGGACAATGACTGTAATGGGGTGTGTGGTGGGTACTTGATAATGGGGGGAATTTAGTAACCACAGTATTGCTCATGTAATTGTATATTAATGATACCAAAATAAAATTTTAAAAAATGCTAAGGAGAAGAAAAAAAAACAGAAGAAAGAAGTGTGTGAAAAGGGTGGCTTTACAATTTTAGGGTATCCAGGACAGGCCTTCCTGACAAAGTGACATTTGAGGAAAGGCCTGAAAGAGGTGAGGGATCCAGCTTTATGGGTATCTGGTAATAATGTTTTTTCAGGAAAAAACAAAAAAAACAAGAAATAGAGGCCCTGAGATAGGAACATGTGAGGATCTTGAAGGAACAGCAAGATCAATGTAGCTGGAGCAAGTAGAGAAGGAGTTGGAGAAGTGAGGTGGGTGGATCATGAACTTTGTAGATCATTGAAAGGAATTCAGTTTCTCAGAGTTTCTCACTCTGAAGTGAGAAGAGAAGCATTTGGAGGATTTTTTGGCTTTATCATATTCCTATTCAAGGATCTTTTCAGATCTATTTTGCTATCTGTAAAATGTCTTTGATGTGTTGTGTTCATTTTCTTATTAGATTTTCTTATTAGTCAGTATTGGGAGTTCTTAAACAGTCTGGATACAAGTCTTTTCTCAGATATGTATGCAAATGTTTTCTCCAACTCTGTGGTTTGTCTTTTTATTCTCTTAAAATGTCTCTTGAAGAGAGGACATGTTTAATTTGATGAAGGACAATTTATTCTTTTTTTTTCTTTTATGGATTATGCTTTTGATACCATAGCTAAGAAATTTTTTCCTAACTCAGTGTCAACAAAGATTTTCTCCTATGTGTTTTTCTAGATATTTCATGGTTTTAGGTTTTATATTTAGGCCTATGATCAATTTTCAGTTATTTAAGTTAAAACTCTGAGTTAACTAAATTAATATCCAATTGTTCCAGCACCCTTCATTGAAAAGATTGTATCTTCTCCATTCAATTAGTTTTGGACCTTTGTCAAAAATCAATTGTCCATTAACAGAATTAAAGGGGGAAATAGATTGCAACATCTTCATTTTAGGATACTTTAACGTATTACTCATGTCAACAGACAGATCAACCAGACAGAAAATAAATAAGGAAACAGAGGCACTGAACAATACATTAGATCAGATGGACTTAACATATGTCTATAGAACATTCCACCCAAAAGCAGCAGGTTACATATTTTTCTCAAGTGTACATGGAATACTCGCTAGAATAGATCACATACTAAGCCACAAAAAGAGCCTCAATAAACTAAAAAAGATTGAAATTGTATCAAGGAGCTTCTCAGACTGCAATGGTATGAAACTAGAAATAAATTACACAAGGAAAGCAAACAAGCCTTCAAACACATGGAGGCTAAACAACATGCTTCTAAATAATCAATGGATCAATGAACAAATTAAAAGAGAAAATCAAGCAATATAATGGAGATAAATGAAAACAAAAATTCAGTGGTCCAAAATTTGTGGGATGCTGTGAAAGCAATGCTAAGAGGGGAGTACATAGCAATACAGGCCTACCTGAAGAAACAAGAACAATCCCAAATAAACAATCTAAAATTACAAAGAAATTAGAAAAAGAACAACAAATCAAACCCAAAGTTATTAGAAATAGGGACATAAAAAATATCAAAGCAAAAATAAATAAAATAGAGAACAGTGAAACAACAGAAAAAAAGATCAATAAAGCCAAGAGCTGATTCTGTGAAAAAATGAACAAAATAGATAACCCCCTAGACAGACTTATCAAGAAAAAGAAAGTATACAAATAAACAAAATTAGAAATGAAGAAGGAATAGTCACAACAAATACCACAGAAATGAAAAGAATTATTAGAGAATACTATGAAAAATTATATGCCAATAAACTGGGCAACCTAGAAGAAATGGACAACTTTGTAGAAAAATACAAACCTCCAAGATTGACCCAAGAAGAAACAGAGAATCTGAGCAGAGCAATTAGCAGCAATGAAATTGAATTGGTAATAAAAAAAAAACTCCGAACAAACAAAATTCCAGACCCAGATTAGCTTTACAGCTGAATTCTTCCAAGCATTTAAAAAAGAACTAATACCCTCCTTCTTAACATATTTCTAAAAGTAGAAGAGGAGGGAATACTTCCAAACTCTTTCTGTGAGGCCAGCACCACTCTAATACCAAAACTGGGCAAAGACACTACAAAAAAAAAAAGAAAATTATAGACAAATATCTCTGATGAACATAGATGCAAAAATCCTCAACAAAATATTAGCAAACCAAATTCAAAAATACATCAAAGGATCATCCATCACAACCAAGTGGGATTTATTCCAGGGATGCAAGGATGGTATAATAGTTGTAAATCAATCTGTATCATACACCACATTAACAAAAAGGATAAAAACCACGTGATCATCTCAATAGATGCTGTAAAAGCATTTTACACAATTCAACATCCATTTACGATTAAAGACTATCAACAAAATGGGTATAGAGAGTACATACCTCAACATAATAAAGGCCATATGTGACAAACCCACAGCTAACATAATACTTACAGGCAAAAAGCTGAAAGCTTTTCCTGTAAGATCAGGTATAAGACCAGTTTGTGCATTCTCACCAAGTACTTGATGTCCTAGCCACAGCAATCAGACAAGACAAAGAGGTAAAAGGCATCCAGATTGGTAAGGAAGAAGTTAAACAGTCACTATTTGCAGATGACATAACATTATACATAGAAAATCCTAAAGAATCCACAAAAAAACTATTAGAACTAATAACTGGGTTCAGCAAAGTTGCAGGATATAAAATTAATACACAGAGATCTGTTACGTTCCTATATAGTAACAACAAAACAGCCGAAAGAGAAAACAATTCCATTTACAATTGCATCAAAAAGATTAAATACCTAGGAATAAACCTAACCAAGGAGGTGAAAGACCTGTACTTTGAAAACTGTAAGACACTCATGAGAGAAATTAAAGAATACACCAATAAATGGAAATCTATCCTGTGCTCATAGATAGGAACAGTTAATATTGTCAAAATGGTCATCTTGCCCAAAGCAATTTACAGATTCAGTGCAATCCCTATCAAATTACCAACAGCATTTTTAAAATTTTTTATTAAGGTATGATTGATATACACTCTTATGAAGGTTTCACATGAAAAAACAATGTGGCTGCTACATTTACCCATATTATCAATTCCCCACCCATGCCCCAATGCAGTCACTGTCCATCAGTGCAGCAAGATGCCACAGATCCACTATGTGCCTTCTCTGTGCTACACTGTTCTCCCTGTGATCCCCCACACCATGACCCACAGCATTTTTCAATGAACTGGAACAAATAGTTCTAAAACTCTTATGGAACCACAAAAGACCCCAAATAGCCAAAGCAATCCTGAGAAAGAAGAACAAATCTGGGGGGATTACACTCCCTGACTTCAAGCTCTACTACAAAGCTACAGTAATCAAAACAATTTAGTACTGGCACAAGAACAGACCTATATATCAATGGAACAGAATAGAGAGCCCAGATATAAAACCACAGATATATGATCAATTAATATACAATAAAGGAGCCATGATTATACAGCTTCTTCAATAACTGGTGTTGAGAAAACTGGACAGCTACATGCAAGAGAATGAAACTGGATTATTGTCTAACTCCATACATAAAAGTAAACTCAAAATGGATTAAAGACCTGAATGTAAGTCATGAAGCCATAAAACTCTTAGAAGAAAACATAGGCAAAAATCTCTTAAATACAAGTATAAGCAGTTTTTTTCTGGACACATCTCCTCAGGCAAGGGAAACAAAATAAAAAATGAACAAATGGGACTACATCAAACTAAAAAGCTTCTGTACAGCAAAGGACACCATCAGCAGGAAAAAAAAGCAACCTACAGTATGGGAGAATATGTTCCTAAATGATTTATCTGATAAGGGGTTAACATCCAAAATATATGAAGAACTCACGGGACTCAATACTAAAAAAACCAAATAACCCAATTAAAAGTGGGCAGAAAACCTGAACAGACATTTCTTCAAAGAAGAAAACCAGATAGCCAACAGGTACATGAAAAGACATTGCTAATAATTGGGGAAATGCAAATCAAAAACACAATGAGATATCACCTCATACCAATTAGAATGGCCACTGTCCAAAACACAAGAAATAACAAGTGGTGGAGAGGATGTGGAGAAATGAGAACCCTCCTACACTGTTGGTGGAAATATAATATGGTATAACTGCTATGGAAAGAAGTATGGAGGTTCCTCAAAAAACTAGAAACAGATATGCCATTCAACCTAGCAATTCCAGTTCTAGGAATTTAGCTGAAGAAAACAAAGTTCCTGATTCAAAAAGATATGTGCCCCTGTGTTTATTGCCATGTTATTTGCAATAGGCAAGAAATGGAAGCAACCATATGGATGTGTCCATCAATAGATGAATGGATAAAGAAGATGTGGTACATGTACACAATGGAATATTATTCAGCCATAAAAAAGAAATCCTGCCATTTGCAACAACATGGATGGAGCTAGAGGATATTATGCTCAGTGCAATAAGCCAAGTGGAGAAAAACAAATACCATATGATTTCACTTATTTGTGGAATATAAAAACAAAGCAAAACAGAAGGAACAAAACAGCAATAGACCCATAGACACTGAGAAGTGACTAGTGGTTACCATGGAGGAGGGGTTGGGATGGATGGGTGGGAAGGGTAAGGAGGATAGAGGGGCACAAAAATCCCGATCATAATACAAGCTGGTCATGGGGATAGTTGTACAGCATGGAGAATATAGCCAATGATTCTGTAACATCTACCTATGTTGACAGATAGCAACCGCACTAGTAGGGGGCAGTGTGGATTTAATAATGTGGGTAACCATTGAACCATTGTGTTGTATATTCAAAACCAATATAAGATTGTATATCAACAATACTTCAATAAAAATTTTTAGAAAATCAGTTGTCCACTTATGTGTATGTTTATTTCCAGACACTGTATTCTGTTACATTGATCTGTTTTTTCTATCTTTACACCAATAGTAGACTGTTTACTGTTAAATTAGTATAGATCTTGAAATCAGGTTGTATAGTTTCTTTTCCAACTTTGTTATTTTCTAAAGTTGTTTTGACTGTTTTTATGTTCTTTGCATTTCCCTATGAATTTTAGAATCAGCTTATCTGTATCTGCCAAAAAAAAAAGTCACTGGAATTTTTACTGGGATTGCATTGAATCCATAGGTCAGTTTGGGGAACATTGGCATTTCAATGATCCTGAGTATTCCAATCTAGTAACCCAGTATCCCTCCATTTACTTTTATCTTTAATTTCACCAGTGTTTTATAGTTCTCAATGTATTTTGTCTAACACATCTTTTGCCATATTTATCCTTAAGTATTTCATGTTTTTTACTATTATAAATAGTATTTTTTTAAACTTCCATTTCCTATTAGAGAGTTTTAAGCAGAAGAGTTACATGATCTGACTTCTGTTTTAACAAAGTCACTCCAATGCTGTGTATATCCTGAAAGGTGAGCAAGGCTAAAAGCATGAATGAAGCTACTGAAGTAATTTTCATATGAGTGGGTATGGTGTCTTGGACCCTAATGGTAGCAGTGTGGTTGGTAAGAAGTGGTGGAATTCAGGATGTTTGCTGAGGTGGAACCACAAGTTGTACTAACATTAGATGTAGGTATTAGAAAAAGAGAGGATACAAGGATGATTTTAGGGACTTGGGCCTGAGCAGCCTGAAGTATGGTTACTATTAAACTGAGATGAGAAAGACCATGGATGGAAAAGGTTTTGGGGAGATGATTAGGAGTTTTTGGTCAAATTAGGTTTGAATATAAGCTTAGAGTTGTTGAGGAGAAAGGTCTGAGATGGAGATGTAAATAAATTCAAGAGTTAGCTTATAGATAATAATTAAAGCCTTGAGGCTAGATGAGATCACAAGAGAGGAGCATGGATAGAAAAAAGAAAGAGGTACATGGCCTGTGTTCTATGCCACTCCAAAGTTTTAGAGGTTGGGAGATGAACAGAAACTATGTGTTATGGTATACCTCTTATGTTTTAAATTACATCATTAAAAAAAAACATTTCAGGATTCAGAGAATTCCAAAAGTATGGGCAGTGGCCCATTACCAGGTTGATTTATTTTAAGTTGTCATTTTTGATTATGAACATGAATGTCTTGAAATATTCAAAAGCATAAACCCATGATGAGGGAAACATTACTGGATTCTCATAGAAAATGAGTAAATAGTCCAATTCATAAGACTATCATTGAAAGGGTTTATTCTCAATTCACAAACAGGAGGCTCATAGTGTTTGCTGTATAATTGGCTGGCACAGTTGATAATGAAGTAACATTAGCCATTTAAGATGCAAAAGAGTAGAAGTTTATGAATATGGCTAAAATTAGTGGGAGGGCTATGCTATTGCCAAGGAAGATAAATGTATCTAATTCCATCATTCTCCTGTAGAGGAAGAGGAAGTGACATACATAGTCATCGATCAGTTCCAGCAGAAGTTCGGTGCTGCAGTAAGTGTTGCCCTCAATCATTCCCAGTATTGTCTGCATATGTCTGTGTCTCACAGATTTCTCCTATTATAACATCATTTATATTTTCCCTAATAATTCAGCAAAATATTTGCGTGTCTACTATATCTCAAGCATTGTTCTGAGGTCTGGAGTAAAACAATAATCAAGACAAAGGTCCACCCCTCAAGGATCTTACATTTTAATGCAAGAAAATAAATAATTGTATATCAGCTGGTGATACATAATATGAAGGAAAAAAATAAGTGTGTTATGGTAGATAGAGTGACCAGGAGTTCCTATTTTATCTGTCCCAGGTGGACAGAGAAAATCTTGGTAAAGAGGTGACATTGGAAAAAGAGACCTGAAAGAAGTAAAGGTGCTAGCCATGTGGGTGTCGAGGTAAAAAACTTAAAGAAGGCATAATTAGCATGTTCAAAGGCCCTGAGGCTGAAGCACACTTGACTTGTGTAGAGGAACAGCAGGGAGGTCAGTGTGGTGGACCATAATGAAGAAGGATAATAAGAAATGGACGGGGGCAGGAGGCATATCAAGTAGAGATAACATTGTAAAGATTTCAAGTTTGAACATTATTGAGCTGGAAAGCCATTGTCAGTTTTAGAGGAGAGTTGGGAATTTTTAAACTTACATTTTAAAAACACCATTCTAGATACTCTATTTAGGCAACTTCTCTATAATCATGTATTAATTTTGAGATGTGGCAGAAACTGATTTTTCAGCCTAATATACACTTCACAGGTGGATTTCAGGGGAGTCATTAAACTTTCTGTTTAGATGTAAGCTTATGCTTATGTGGGCATGGATACATTTTTTAAGGGAAAGTTAGCTTCAACTGATTCTTTTTTTTTAACAACTTGATTGAGACATAATTCATGTGCCATAAAATTTACCAATTTAAAATGTATAGTTCACTGGCTTTAGCATATTCAGAGTTGTATACCCATTGCCACAATAAATTTCAGAATATTTTCAATACCCCCAAAAGATACCTCATTCTCCTTAGCTGTCGCTCCTAATTCCTCCCCAGAACCTCCAGCCCCTGGCAACCACTAAGTTATTTCTTGCCTCTATGGATTTGCCTGTTTATGGCATTTCATGTATATAGGATTATATAATATCTGGTCATTTATGACTGGCTTCTTTTGCTTAGCATAACATTTTCAAGGTTCATCTACCTTATAGAATGAATCAGTAGTTCACTTATTTTTTATGGCCAGCTAATATTCCTTTGCATGGATATACCACTTTCATTTATCTTTTCACCATTTGATGGACATCTGAGTTGCTTCTACTTTTTGGCTATTATGAATAATACTGCTATGTACATTCATGTACAATGTTTGTGTGGACATATGTTTTCATTTCTTTTGGATAGATTCCTAGGAGTGGAATCGCCAGGTCATATAGTAACTCTGTTTAACAATTTGAGGATCAGCCGGACTGTTTTACTAATTTGAGGGTTAGCCATGCTGTTTTATTAGCTGCTGCACCATTTTACATTCCTGCCAGCAGAATATGAGGGTTCCAGTTTCTTCACATGCTTACCAACACTTGTTATATATCATTTTGGTCATGGCCCTCCTGCTGGTATGAAGTAATAAATCATTGTGCTTTTGATTTTCATTTCTCTGAGGGCTAGTAATGTTGAGCATCTTTTCATGTGCTTATTGACCATTTGTATATCTTCTTCAAAGAAATGTCTATTCCTTTGCCCATTTTTAAATTGAGTTATAATAATTCTTTATATAGCAATAGATTCTTTAAAGGGTTTAGTGACCACAACAAAAACATGAGATAAGAACTTTGCTCTGAAAATTTGAAGTAGTTGAAAATTCATATCAATAGGGAAATACAGCTTTTTCCCCCCAGTTTTGCAGCCTTCTTGTTCATTGAGGATGGAACTGAAATTCAGTGCCCTTTTTTCATCCTTGAAGAAAAATACTCAGAATGTAGAATACTCAAACTCAGCAGCATCAGTATTTAAAGTGGAGCCAAGAAAGCAGGCTGAATCCCCAACCAATGTCTTCTTATGCTTTGAATCAGGACCTACCACCACCTACTGAGAATACTTTATGCTCTCAAAAGGAAAATGTTGTGCTAGTGTAAATTACCATGCGCTTCTATTCTTGAGTAGAAGGGGGAGGATCTTGTATCATGTAGATATTTTAATGGATTATTGATCTTAGAATTGTATGTTTTGAAACAGGATAAGATTTTAGATAACCAAAGGACAAGGGATACTACTACTTCAGTTTTGAATAATTTAATGAATCCAAGACTTTAAAGGACCTGTGCGTCTTTGTCTTTCATTCTCTACAGTAGATACTGTGAGTCTCAGCTACTCTGAGTTCCTTCAGGTTCAGTAAATTACCCTGTATTAGGTTGCCATCATTTGCACGAGGAATCTGGTCACAAAGACTCGAAGTCTTTCACTAAAGTATCAGTGGTAACAAAAGGTATCTGAGTTTTCAACTCTTATTAGCATTTGAGATACGAATGATTTAATTTGCAGTTGTGGGATAATTTTGAGAAAAGTAAAAAAAAAGGATAGAAGTGTTCAGTGTGATGTGTGTTTGTATGTGTGTGTGTGTAAAGCAGACTTGTGTTTTGAATTGGTCAAATTTTACAAGTTTAAAATATATAATGCACTTTGTTTATTGCTAGCCATTTTACTTGTGCCATTCATGATGTCATATCTGTAACATTTACTCCTTGGAGATTATTTTCTTCCTTTTTCTCACCAGATGCACCACATCAAGAAGCAGAGTGTCCTGAGTGTGGCAGCAGAAGGTGCTAATGTGTGTCGACATGGAAAACTATGTTGGTTTCAGGTAAAAGACTTTTTTAAGCTTTCTATATTGAAATAATTGTAGATTCGCTGTTAAATTTGTTGTAATTGTTTTCTTTATGTCACCCCAGTGTCACTGTCCTATAACTTATTTGGAATTTATTTACTCCTCTACTACTCAGTTTATTCTTTTCTAAAGGAAAGAACTCTGTCTCTTAATAGATTCACTTTTATAATCATCATTGCCAGCTCACAGGCTCTGCTTGAGGTCTTCCTTAGTGTGTTCTCTTACCTCAGATATACCAAGAGTTTCTTATCTTTCCTTCTGGTTAGTAGCTTTCCACAGCAGGTTTCTGCCACATCATTTTTATTTTCCTGGACCTGAGAGAATTCAGATATGGGGCCTCATCATAACAAAAGAAATTTCTAGTGAGCCTTAAATAGCTAAGGATGAGTAGCCACTTTTGAATCAAACTCAGCAGCATCAATATTTAAAGGGGAGCCAAGAAAGCAGGCTGAATCCCCAACCAATGTCTTCTATCCTTTGAATCAGGACCTGCCTCCTTCACCTACTGAGAATATTTTTATTAGGATTGGCAATCTGCCCTCTTGAACTGCTCTTTCTGGAATGTTCACCTTCTTGAAGGGAAAGGAATGGAGGTATCAAGCCTGGTTATGCTCAAGGATTAGGTCACCTTTCTCTTGTTCCATGAACTTTCTAGGTTAACCTTAGCTTTTAAATGACTAGGTTTGAGTTAGAAGCACAAATGCAAATTACTTAAACCTCCACAAGCAACAAGAGCAAAAATAAACAAATGGGACTACATCAAAGTAAAAAGCTTCTGCAAAGCAAAAGAAAGGGTCAACAAAATGAAAAGGCAACTTATGGAATACAAACCACATATATGATCAGGAGTTAATATCCAAAGTATATAAGGAACTCATAACTCAATAGCCAAAAAAAAAAGGTAATCCAATTTAAAAATGAATGGATATTTTTCCAAAGACATAAAAAATTTTTAAAACTGTTCAACATCCCTAATCATGAGGAAATGCAAATCAAAACCACAATGAGATACCACCTCACATCTGTCAGGATGGCTGTTACAAAAAAGGTAAGAGAGAACAAGTGCTGGCGAGAATCTGGAGGAAAGGGAACCCTTGTAAACTGTTGGTGGAAATGTAAGTTGTTGCAGCTATTGTGGAAAGCAGTATGGAGGTTCCTCAGAAGGTTAAAAATAGAACTACCACATGACCCATCAATTCCACTTCCAGGTATATGTCCCAAGGAAATGAAAACAAGGTCTCAAAGAGATACCTGTATTCCCATGCTCATGTTTCAGTATTATTTCTAATGCAGCAGTGTTGCAGCATTATTGACAGCAACCAAGGCATGGAAGCAACCTAAGTGTCCGTGGATGGATGAATGGATAAAGAAAAGATGGTATGTGTATATAACGGAACATTACTCAGCCACAAAAAAGAAGGAAATCCTGCCGTTTGTGATAACATGGATGAAACCTGCATGGCGTTATGCTGAGTGAAATTAGTCAGAGAAAGACAAATATTATGTACTCTCACTTATTTGTGGAATTTTGAAAAACTGAACTCATAGAAAGAATAGATTGGTGGTTGCCAGGGTAGGGAAAATGAGTGAGGGGGGTCAAAAGGCACAACTTTCAGTTGTAAGATAAATAGTTCTTGAAGTCTAATGTTCAACATGATGATTATAGATAACGTATACTTGAATGTTGCTAAGAGAATAAAGCTTAAAAGTTCTCATCATATACACACACAAAAAAGGTAACTATGAGGTGATAGATGTGTTAACTACCCTTTATAATAATTTCATACTGTATACATAAATCATACATTGTACACCTTAAACTTACACATTGTTACATATGTTAATTACATCCCAATAAAGTGGGGGAACCAATCTGCTCAGGCCTACTTCTAGGAATGTATTCTAAGTAGTTGAAAATATGAAGAAAAAATTACATGAGAACCTGTTCATCTTGGCATCATTTATGATGGTAAAAACTAGAAACCACTTAATTAGTTAACAATAGGAGACATTATAGTACATTTGATCTTATGCAGCTGCCAAAAGTTAATGATGAATGCAGTACAGAAAAATGAAAGTTTATGACTGGAAAAAGCAGGATATAGATTTGAATGTATATTTTTAGAGTCATAATTTTTTTGCACATGAAAAATGGAGGGGAGAGTTGTGTGGCATATAGTGTCACTGACAAAATGTACAACAGCCATCCATATGCCTTACTCTGTTCTAGCTGATGCACGGTGAGTGCAACATATTCTCTTCTTTCACAGAGTTTGCAGTCTAGCGGAGACAGAATTTAATCTTGCAGAGATAGAGGTTATTTTCCAAACTTTTATCATATGTCTTATCAATTTTTATACTTAAGGAGGGACTATTTTATTTGTGAAATTCTAGCCAATGACACAGAAGATCTGAGAATGAATATCATGCTGAGTGAAATTAATCAGTCAGAGAAAGACAAATACTATATACTATCACTTATTTGTGGAATTTTGAAAAACTGAACTCATAGCCAATTACAGCTATGTCAACAGTTAGCTCTTGAAATGACAAAAGTGGCCTCAGACTGTCATGTGGCTGCTCTCCACACCCGTTTGGATCTTTTTTTGACTTCATTGTCAAAGTAGATTATCCAGCTGCACTCGCTTTTGTGACTTTTATGGTTAGAAACAAATGAGAATTCTCATAATTGTATAAAATTCATCTACAAAGCAGTGCTCCATATCCTCCAATTTGTGCCAGTGAATTTGTTGTCCGTTTTAAACTGCTGATGGGAAGGATCTTCCTGTGTGAATAATTTTATATAACGCTTAACACAATCATGCATGTTATAGAACTCAGAGAAATAGGATTTCATGTTATTAACAATAACAGGCTGCTTATTCTGTAAGTAAGCCTGGAATGCCTGGAATGTCACAGGTGAGACATAAAACATTAAATTTGGGACTCTAAAAAGCAAATGGCTTAATTCAACTTATCTGTTTCCTTTTGGAAACCACAGTGATACTTTTTTCTTTGTTTTTTTTACTTTAGATCAATTTCAGTCTGTTTTCCCTGAGGATCATTGAGTGCCTATTGTTTACTTTCAAAGTGAAGATGTTAAATATTTTATCAGGTGTCTTTTTTGATCTTCCTATCCCCTTCCCTAGCTCTTTTTCATCCTGTAATTTGTTTGTGTGGTATAGGTGGCCACAAATAGCCGAGTTTACTTATTTGACATTTTCCTTCTGGGAAGTCGTGCATTCAACAATGGACTTCAGATGATATTAGAAGACAAGAGAATTTTGAAGGTGAGTATGTAAGCTGATTCTCTGCTAGTAAGATTAGCAGCCAGGGTCTAATTACTCTGTCTTTATCTTCTGATTCCTTAGGTTATCCATGACTGTCGTTGGCTTTCTGATTGTCTATCTCATCAGTATGGAATTTTTCTGAATAATGTCTTTGACACACAGGTACATGCAGGGAAACACTGGATTCAATCTTGTAGAAAATAGGCCTCATCTGATGAGTTAAAGTCTTTCTGTCCATGTCTCACTCCTGCCCATTTCTCATGTAAGATGTTTATATAATATGTGAGAACATCTGGTGAACTGTAAAAGAATTGTAGAAAAGTTACTTTAAAGTATTTAGGATTTCCCTCCCCCCAACCCCCAATTTTTCTCTGGTATTTGTCAGATAAGAAGCAAGCTCCATACTCTATAGAATTTAGACACTAAGACAATTTGGGGGTCATTCAGAAGTCTGACATGGGATATGTAGAATGAAGTGAACAATCACATCTCTGCCTTTACCACATATGCATCAGTTAAGTCTAGTTGGCTAGTTGTCATTTTAGAAATGCAGATTGTCCTAGATATGCCCAAATATTCTGGCCTCAAATAGCCTGAAGATAGGTGACTTTTCTCTGATCTAAAGGACCCTAGAGAAATAAGAAATTCCTAGACTATAGTTTTTAATGCTGATCTGGGTTAGAGCAGTAAAACTAGTAGTTTTCATTATTTCTCTAGGTTCTTTTGGTCTTCTAGGTTTATGCCAATGAAAGGGAGAGCTTGAATATATAAACCTTTGGAGAGGAATTAAAATAATGAGTTAGCCAATTATTTTTGAACAGGAATTCCTAAAAGTTTAATTGTACGTTATTATATGTGGTTCAAATGTGCTCCTTACGTATCTGCCATAATGAAATTTATGCCACTTCTCTTGTTTACATGTTCCTTTAGGCCCTCTTTCATGATCTTTCACTATGTGGAGATTGCTCCTGTGCTTGCTCTAAAATGTAAGAGAACTGCTCATTGTTTCCTTGAGGCCATCAGGCTTCCTGATTAGACCCCATATATATTGTCTAATAAGGACATTGGCATATCTTTCCATATCTTTTCAGATTTCCATAGTTCAAGAAGCAGGAATTCAGAATTTTTCAGTCTGTTTCCTTTAGCACAGTATATTAGTTTCCTATTGTTGTTAACAAATCATCACAAATTTAGTGGCTCAAAATAATATAAGTGTACTGTCTTACAGTTCTGGAAGTCAAAAGCCTGAAACCATTTTCACTGGGTTCAAGTCCTGGTGCCATCAGGCTGGCTTCTTCTGGAGGCTGTGAGGGGAGAGTCTGCTGCCCTGCCTCGGGGCCTTCCCCTGGGCTCTCTGGAGCACGGGCCCCATCATCTTCAGAGTGCCTCATTCTCATCTCCGCCTCCTCCACCGTAGCACCTTCTCCCTCTGTCTCCCTTATAAGAACACGTGTGATTACACTTGGGGCCCACTCAGATAATTCAAGATAATCTCTGTCTCAAGATCGTTAACTTAATCAGAGGTGCAGAGTCCATTTAACCATAGAAAATAATATTCACAGGTTTCAGGGATTAGGAGTGGATGTTTTTGGGGGCCATTATTTAGCCTACCACACACAGAGAAACATTTATTCCAATACTTAATTTTATTAGTTTTTCTGTATCAAAACTTTACCACAGTTGCTAATACATAAAAAATAATAATTCTTGAATTTTATCTTGTCCTATTCCCCAAAGGCACCAAAGAATAGTAAATAACCATAAGGCAAGTAAATAAAAGAAGTGGAAAATAAAGTAGACAAGGACACATTAAAGTATGGTGATCCTTTTTCTTTCTTTTTTCTGTTTTTTATTATCTTTAATAGTATTGTCTATCATGTGGGTCCTTGGGGAAAATGGTATTTAAAGACATTTCTCTAAATACATATTCTGCTATTTCTGCATGAGGTTGTGTATCGACTGGTGTGTTTGTCTTTTTCTAATGTCACAGGTAGCAGATGTCCTTCAATTTTCCATAGAAACAGGTGGCTTTCTTCCAAATTGCATCAGTACTTTACAGGAGAGCTTAATCAGACATCTTAAAGTAGCCCCCAAATATCTCTTCTTTCTGGAGGAGAGACAAAAACTGATTCAGGTGAGTATTAAAGGATGTCCCATATGATATTAATTTTTTCAAGGGTCTTGTGAGTGTGATTGTCAGCATATTATGTGAAACAATGATAGTTGCCATGTAAGCATATGAGCATTGTCAAAATCTTAGTTGTTCTAAATGGGAACAGTTTGCTTGTGGTCTCAAGTGAGTAAAAACCAGAGTCCAGATTTGTTGACTAGCAATTAAAAAGTACTTTGAAATAAATTTTCAAGTTGGAACAAGGGAGAATTTTGTTGGGAATTTGGATTAAAGCAAAGGAAAACAAAAAGCATCCCAATTATTTCTCCTAAAGTAAGGTAGAATTCCATTAGCTCCTGATAGCTTTACATGCATACTTGGCTCTTGACCATATTGGCTATGATTCTGGCATATAATCAAGTTTACTGATTTGAGTTTTGAATGAGAAGTCTTGTATCTCTTCTCCCCCTCCTCCCATCCCCCAGTCTTCTTCCCCTCACATACACTCACACACTGTATACACATATAAAGTGTGTCTATGTGTGCGTATTCTCAGAAGGCTAGCCATAGTGTGAAAGCAGAAGGTAACAAGTGAAGAAAATGACAGTAACAGTGTTTGAAGTTAAGCAACACTAGATAAACAGTTATTGTCTTCAAAGTTCTGCTTACTATTCAGAGAAAATTATTTTGGTGTCTCCAGGAAAATCCAGAAGTGTGGTTCACACGACCTCTTTCACCCTCTTTACTGAAGATTTTGGCTTTGGAAGCCACCTACCTGCTACCCCTTCGCTTAGTGCTGCTGGATGAGATGATGTCTGACCTAACCACCCTGGTGGATGGGTACCTAAACACCTACCGAGAAGGGTCTGCAGACCGGCTGGGAGGCGTGGAGGTAGGTGTAGCTGTCTGTCTTCAGGACGTCTGCTTCTGCGTTATTCCTTATTGAGGGCACAGGGATGCTGTGATACCCACTCTTGAGAGCTGCAGCAAATTTCATGAAGCGGACTTGGTAATAACTGTTCTTGAAGGGGCTATAGCTTGAGCTTAATCCATCTCCTTGGGTACTTTTTCACAATATTTATTAGGTTATGTCTCCAATAATATTTTTGTGAAAGAATGGGAACATTTAAGATTTCATCAGCTATTTTTATGGAGCCAGCACAATATAAGAAAACTATAGACCAGGAGTTGGTAAACTATTGCCCTAAGGGCAAACCTGGCCCAAGCCTGTTTTTGTACAGCACACAACTAAGAATGTTTTTACTGTTTTAAGGGACTGTACAAAAAAAAAACGTTGGCAACAAGATCCATTTAGGGCTCACAAAACCTAAAATATTTACTCTTTGGCCCCACTGCTACAAACAGTTGTCAGGATTACTGATGCAAAATCCTAAATAAAATAATAGCATTTCATTTTTGGTATGAACCCCTTCAAATGTATTGTCCTTTTAAAGAGTGACTGGATTCTAGTTGCAAGTATGGTCCAATGTTAGGAAATTCTCTATTTTACTAGAGCCAAGAAAGTCTTATGATTTCTCATAAATACTGAAAAAATTTTATAACTTTTTTATATTTTGTTCTCACTGTTTAATGCTGAAGAAATTCAATAATATTTTATGTACATTACTGATAAAAGTTGGGATAGATGACTTTAACATGATAAAACATGTATCTTAAGTGAGAAGACTACATGTTTGAGAACACTAAAAGCATTCTTTTTAATATCAAGAGAAATACAAAATTGTGACTATCACCAATACTTCAGAATTTTTTTTAAAGCCATTAGCCAATGAAATTAGTAAAAAAAAGATAAACTATAAGAATTGAACAGGAGGAATCACAGTTATGACTTGCCTGTGATACAACTGAAAACTGAAGGGAATGAACTGGAAAAGACTACCACTAATAAAAAGGCAATATAGTAGAGTAGGCACAAATAAAACAAAGCAACATAAAATTAATAGCTTTCCTATCTACATATACACAACCAGAAAATATAATGGGAGAAAACATCCATTCATCACTGTAAAATAGATTACCTAGAACTGTAACAAAAAATGTGAAAATATAATAAAGGTGAAGAAAATGTTAAAATGTTGTTACTGATGGCGTAAAAGTGGACTTGAATGAAGACACTATTTTTAGCTATCAATTATTCCCAAATTAACTTTTTATTTTCTATTTTTTTTATTTTGGTATCATTAATCTACAATTACATGAGCAACATTATGGTTCCTAGACTCCCCCCATCATCAAGTCCCCACCACATACCCCATTACAGTCACTATCCATCAGTGTAGTAAGATGCTGTAGAATCACTACTTGTCGTCTCTGTGTTGTACAGCCCTCCCCATGCCCCCCACCCCCTACATTATGTCTGCTAATCGTAGTGCCCCTTTTCGCCCCTTGCCCCTCCCTTCCCACCCATTCTCACCAGTCCCTTTCCCTTTGGTAACTGTTAGTCCATTCTTGGGTTCTGTGATTCTGCTGCTGTTTTGTTCCTTCAGTTTTTTTTCTTTGTTCTTATACTCCACATATGAGTGAAATCATTTGATACTTGTCTTTTTCTGCCTGGCTTATTGAGCATAATACCCTCTAGCTCCATTCATGTTGTTGAAAATGGTAGGAGTTGTTTTCTTCTTATGGCTGAATAATGTTCCATTGTGTATATGTACCATATCTTCTTTACCCAATCATCTACTGATGGACACTTAGGTTGCTTCCATTTCTTGGCTATTGTAGATAGTGCTGCCATAAACATAGGGATGCATATGTCTTTTTCAAACTGGGCTCCTGCATTCTTAGGGTAAATTCCTAGGAGTGGAATTCCTGGGTCAAATGGTAAGTCTATTTTGAGCCTTTTGAGGAACCTCCATACTGCTTTCCACAATGGTTGAACTAATTTACATTCCCACCAGCAGTGTAGGAGGGTTCCCCTTTCTCCACATCCTCACCAACATTTGTTGTTCCTAGTCTTTTTGATGCTGGCCATCCTAACTGGTGTGAGGCGATATCTCATTGTGGTTTTAATTTGCATTTCTCTGATGATTAGTGATGTGGAGCATCTTCTTATGTGTTTGTTGGCCATCTGAATTTCTTCTTTGAAGAAGTGTCTGTTCAGATCCTCTGCCCATTTTTTAATTGGATCACCCAAATCAACTTTGAATTTAACTCTATTCCAAGAAAAATATTAACACCAGCATTATTTTGGCAAACTGTGATTATAGTGTTTGTAGAGACAAATAAATAAATCAGAATGGTCCTGTCACATATTAAAACATATTATAAGTCTACACTAAATAAAACAGTTTGTGACTGGTACATATGTAGGCAGATCAACAGAACAAAGTAGAGAACCCAGACTTAGATGCAAATGTCTACCTGCCAGAATGGTTGAATTTCCAATCAATGAGAAAAAGATAGTTCCTCAGTAAATGGCCTGAGGCAATTGACTTACCACTGTGGGGGAGAATTAGAGTTGGATTGCAATCTTTTTCACATTCCTATTTCTTTTGTTACACTAAAATAAACTCCAAGGATCAAGTATTTGTGTAAAAAATGGAATTATAAAATTATTGAAAAAAATGTGAAATTTAAATAAAATTATGTCAGAGTAGAGAATGCTTTTATTTTCTCCCGACTTTATTCAGGAATACTTGACAAAATTAATTGTGTGTATTTAAAGCATACATGATGACGGATATACACATTGTGGAATGAGTTCCAAGATCAAGATAATTAGCACATGCATCACCTCACATAGTTAACTTTGTTTTGTATGTGTGGTGAGAATATTTAAGATCTAATCTCAGCCACTTTCAAGTATACAATACTGAATTACTAAATATAATAACCATGCTGAATATTAGATCCTTAGAATTTATTCTTATAAACTGAAACTTTGTACCCTTTTTTTGTCCTAATCTCCCTGTTCTTTCCCTCCCTCAGCAACTGCCATTCTATTCTCTGTTTCTATGAAATTGGCTTTTTTTTTTCAAGATTCTACTTATAAATGATACCATAGAGTATTTGTCTTTCTCTGGCTTTTTTCATTTAGCATAATGCCTTCCAGCGTCATCCATGTTGTCACAAATGGCAGGACGTCCTTCTTTTTTATGGCTGAACAATATTCCATTGTATGTATATACATCACATCTTTGTCCATCTGTTGATGGACACAGGTTGTTTCTATAACTTGGCCATTGTCAGTAATGCTGGAGTAAATGGGAGTGCAAATATCTCTTTGAGTTAATGATTTCATTTCCTTCAGAGATACAGTAGAATGTGGGATTGCTGTAACATATGGTAGTGCAATTTCTAATTTTTTGATGAACCTCCATACTGTTTTCCATAGTGGATGCACCATTTTACATTCTCACTGACGGTGTTTAAGAGTTCCCTTTTATCGTCATTCTCATCTACACTTGTTATCTCTTTTTAATGATAGTCATTCTAACAGTTGTGACGTAATATCTCATTGTGGTTTTGATTTGCAGTTACCTGATGATGAGTGACGTTGAGCACCTTTTCATGGACCTTTGGCCATCTTTAAATCTGGAAAAATATCTATTCAGGTCCTTTGCTCATTGTTTGATTGGATTATTTAACTCAATGCTATTGAGTTGTATGAAAAAATGCTTTTCTATTAAGTACTAAGAACTCATAAGATTAATAACTTTGAGTTTAAAAATTTTGTATGGCAAAAATACTATAACAAATGGTAGGATTTGTGTTCTTCACATCTTAATATATTCTTTATTGTAGCATTTATATAATGACAATATACTGGAAACAATCCAAATATCCATCAATAAGGTCTTGATTAAAAATTTGTGGTTTAGTGATGAAGCCCTTAAAGATAACATTTTTAGTGTAAAAAATGAAGATGTAGAAGAAAATATAATAGTATGTTGCCATTTGTAGAAAATAATTTTACAAAGAGTTAAGAAAGACTCAAAAGCTGGAGGAAAATATTGAGAAATGAAATCCAATGAAAAGAAAAACATTTAGTAAGGATATATATACATATACATATACACATATGATCAGGGCAACAAAGAAAATCCTTTTTAGAGGATGCACCTTCCATGGCAACTGGGGTCAGAATAGAAAAGACACTTACTTATCATTGCATAATCTTTATACATTCTCACCACACACACACTTAACACACAAACACAACTGGATCCAAAATAATTAACCCAAAAAATAGCACTACAACTGTTGAAGACACTAGAGGGTGCAATGAGAGCACATTTGAATAGATGCTTGCTTGCCAAATACGGTTTAGTAGAAATGATTTTAAGAACCATGTTCAGATGTTTAGTTATGGTAGACTTGTGTTTATTATTTTTTTTCTTAGCCTACATGTATGGAACTTCCAGAGGAACTGCTTCAACTCAAGGACTTCCAGAAGCAGCGCAGAGAGAGAGCTGCAAAAGAATATAGGGTGAATGAACAGGGACTCCTAATAAGGACAGTGCTCTATCCAAAGAAATCAATGACAGAGGCTGCAGGGAAAGAGGGAAAAGTTAGAGGTTCCTTATTTTGTAGACCTTCCAGGCTGGATAAAGCTCCACATTTTACATCTCATGAGAATGTAAATTTGCTCAAAGAAGGATCTAAGAGTGAGCAAACTACAGCAGGATCTCAACATGTACCTCCCATAGAGGAAGAAACCAGTGAAGGTTCTAGTACTAATAAGATTTGCTCTGAGTCAGAGGGGCCAGCGGACCAGGGAACACCTCAAAAAGAACAGCTTAAGATACTTAAACAGGAGTTTCAAACAAGCTTGTCTTTGAAAGAGGAGATAGAACAGTTATTGGTGTTAGGAAACCAGGAAGATCTAAAATGCACAAAAGGAGATGTTTCAGTGTCTCCTTCCCTTCCTCAGGAAAACCAAGTGTCTCCAAAGTGACACCTTTCATCCTTTCAGAAAAGCTGTGCTTCCCATACTTCCTCCCTTTCCAGCCTTGGAGAAGACCCACTCCTGGATCAATCCTTCTCCAATTCTGCCTTAGCGATCTTTAATTCACTCTTGAGGCTGTAAAGATGGAGCCCATTTCCCCTGCCCTCAGGGCCTTCCTCCGTGCTTGAGTTGCTCACGTTGTGAATTTAGTTCTGCCTCAGTCACGGGCTTTGGGGAAAACTGTGTCCTCTTGCTTAACTCCTACATTCCTGGAATTTGATTAGGATGGGAATGAATGTTAAATAATGGAAGAAGTAAGTTTTCTGATTATGTCACTGTGCAGAAATGTTCCCAGTGGCCAGAGTGAATTATTTCTTATAATTTGGGTTTAGAGGATTTAAAGAGGGGAGAAATCTTGGGCTTAGTATCTGGAAGAATCTATACTTTTAAAATTTTGTTGTGTTTTTTGGTTTGAAGGAGGTTGTTAAAACTCTTAGCCGTAAGTTTAAAAACATTACAACTTTACCAGTATTTTTTCCCTTTTCAAAATATTAATTTTAATTTGTCAATTATACCTCAGTAAAACTGAAAATAATATTAACTTTATTTTTGAATTTTGAAAGTTTTGCCTGTCACAAACTAGTTAATGTTACTACAAGAATTGATATCCCAGTTTTAATTTCTTTTCATCCCATTTACTTTTAGAAGATTTTGTCCAATTTCCTCTTAAGGCAGGAGCTTCTTTTGAATATGTCTATTATGTAAACTTGAAGTTTGATTCCACTCCATTTGCTTGGAGTTGGAATACTTAGGGTGAAAGGAAGGCATCTTGTACTGAGCCTTTTTTGTATTAAATACTTGCCAGTTGCTCATATTCTTTTGTGTACAATAATCAATAAACCCGTTTGGTCATTAGCTTATCTCTCACTTCTTCACTGGGTCCCGGCAGAAATATGTTGGAATATGTCTGGATGTCTAGATCTGGATTCAAGAAATCTGTAATTTACAGATGTGATGCTATATGGGACTCTTAATGCACTTAGGGGAAACATAAAGACAGTCTATAATTAAGAACATCCTTGTCTACACTTGCCATTTCTAAGTGTCACTGAAGGAAGAGCTGTTCCCTTCCAGACTCCAGAGCCCAGATCAAATCTCAGTTTAGGATGAAGACAGGCCCAAGAGCAGTCAGCTCAGCCTTATAGTTGGTATGTCTTACTCTGTCCTTTGTTTAGAAGGTCTCCTGGGTTCCTGTTGGGTACCGAATGCATCTTCATAGAGAGCCCAGAATGTGGTTGCTTATGTTCACTCTGAGAAAAGCATGAATTCCTATATGTAACTCTGGGTGTGGGGTGTGTGGGGGAATATGTTCCCAGCCTGGGGCAAATTACCTTTGAAACCTAAATCAGTCAAAGGAAGAAATCAAGTGGGAAAAACCTGTTTATTTCTTGCAAGCAGTCATCCACTTCTGCTCACTGGTGTCTATCGCGACCGGGCTGCAAAAAGGGGACCCCACCCAACATCTCCAGTCCAGATGTGTCCTTGCTACCCCATGTAATCACCTGTTTGATACAGAGATGGACTACTTCTCTCTACCCCTTGTAAACACCTATAGATATGGAGATGCACTAAAGCCAGGGGAGAGATTCTGGAAATGGTACAATTTTACCTACACTATAAAATCCCTAGAATTGATTTAGCTTCTTGTGGAACCATTCACTTACTACACAAAACACATACATCCAGGTTGCAAAAAAATATAACATTCTTCATATTTAAAAAAACATGTTCTTTCATTATGTTTGCTTTGTGACCATACTTAAGAACAATGGGACTGTTGGACCTTTGCTACACTGCTTGATATGGTACACATACTAGCCATATGTAGCTATTAAAATTGAAAAATAAATCAATTAAAGTGGAATAAAATTAAAAATTCAGTTCCTCAGTTGCACTTGCCTTATTTCGTATGTGCTCAGTGTCTACTGTATTGAACACCACAAATATAGAACATTTCCATCATTTCAGAAAGTTCTATTTGGCAGTGTCATTTGAGAAGTACTTTACCAGAACTAAAAGAACTTTTGGGGTTTCATCACAGTATTTTCTCAGTGAAACCCTCATAAACCTTGAACTGCATTTTTCTCCACATCCTCATTCTAGCCTACAGTACTTATCTGAATTCCATGTGTATGGCCGGACCCTACCATGAAGGTCTGTCCTTTGCTAGACAGACTGTAAAAAATCCCTGGCTTATTCAAACCCTGTTGCTAGTGCTCTGTGCCGTTATTCAGATTTCTTGTCTAAATTTTGCCCAGAATTTTTGGAATCCTGGCTTCCTGGCCCAACCCATTGCTGATTCTTTACTTTGTATTTTGCTAGTTGAGAGTTCATAAACCATAATGCCTGCTTTCCCAAGCTCTGGGGGTCTTGCTTCAGTCTACACTAATTTCCTGTGTCTGTCCTACTTAGGTCTGACCTTTCTGTCATGACCTATAATTAGAGATTCTTTCAAGTGATCAGATCCTTTTAGTTTGGGAATTAGGAAACAGAGTTAAATGACTAACCTGAACAAAAATACAACATTGGAAACAGGACCAGTGTTACTTGTTTTTTTGGTCCATTCGATGTTTTTTCAAATAGAGGGTGAAAAAGATCACTGCAGCATCTTTGCCTCCAGTTTGACTGTGGGCTTGAGAAGTCATAACACAATAGAATTTCAATGCTCTATAGGCCTCTCATTGTTTGGACACAAGGCAAGTCCCAACAGTAAGTGGAAGTGAGGCCTGGGGCAAATTAGAGGGTCTGGGGTTGGTTAGCCAGTTATACTTATGAAAAAGTATGAAACCCAGTATACTTATCATAAATAAATACCTTACAGAAAATTTACAAAATAAATTTAAAAACCTCTTAAATATTATCCCACATTATACAACCCTTCCTATCATTTTGGCATTTTTAAGTTTTCTCTCTCTCATTTTTCCTCTCTTTACACACATAAAGCATAGTCACAACCATATCATAAACATACTTATTGTACTTGTTATATCATGTATTTACCTAACAGCCAACACTTTTAATAGATGTTTCCTTTTAAAAATTGATATGCTATTAAATAGAATTTGGGAAATACATAAAAACTTTACTCTTGTTTCTTTAACAGAAAAAGCAGGAAACATTTTTGTTAATTCTAGTGCTTATGCATAGGTTTTTCCTCTAAATAGTTGTAATCATACATATATGTATATATCCTGCTTTATGTTTCCTATACTGTGATACAACATTTGCAAAGATTTTTAATGACTGTATAATAGAATTTCTGAGAGGGTATAGTAGTTTATTTAACTGTATTTTGGTATATTTAGGTTGTTTCCAATTTCTTATTTTGTGCTTTTTCAAAGCTTTCTCCATGTTTTGAATCATTTCTACAATTTTTTTTACAGCTCTGGCTATGTTACTTTCCAAAAATGTAGTCAATTATATTCCCACCACCAATTTTTGACATAATAATATACCATTGAGAGCATTGGATTTTTTTCTAGAGAGGCATGGCATACTTCTGATTTTCAAAATTCTAACTTCTTCATCCATAAATCTAAAGATTTCCTGTCATTTTTTATAGCTTACCTGTATTAGATACTATGAATATTAATGGAACATAAATATTGAGAATATTTGAATCCTGGTAATGTTCTTGGTATCTAAGTAAGATCAATATTATTAAGATATTTAATCGTGGAAACCCTAACATAAAATCAAAGTTATATACTCATAAAAGTTCTCTTTGAAATGTCTTCAGAACTCTCATTAAGGATATCATGGAAGATGACGTTTTATTGTTACATGAAACAAGAATCTTAGCTAAGTTGCTAGGTTCACCCTAAGACAAAGTTTTATACATTCTATTCCACATATTGTGGGATTTGAGCCAATGACTCTACAATTTAATAGACCTCTTCAAACAGGAAGAGCTGTCACATTGTAATCAGGGCATAATCACCAACCAGATCTTAAAATAACATTAAATGCTCCCAAAAATTGTCTAGACTATGCATCAATTTAGTCAGTCATGAACAGCAATTCTTAAACAATGGAGTAAAACAGAAAAATATCATAGTGCACTATGCATAGTAAGGGAAAGTATTCTGTGAAACTTTTTTTCTCAGTTGTATGCCTGATGTATGTATGCTTTACTCTTGGTTGCAGTAAAAAAGTTTAAGATAAGCATAGAGGAAATTTATATCTGAAAGTATTTATACAATAAAACAAGAATGACCTAAAACCAGTGATCTTAACTTCCACCTTAAGCTAGAAAAACTAGAGTAAATTAAACTTCAGGTCAGTAGAAGGATGAAATGAAAAATGATAAGAGTAGAAATCAATAAAATTTGAAGTGGACAGAGGAAATAAATAAAACCAAAACCTGATTTTTGAAAAAATCAATAAAATTGATAAACCTTTAACCACACTGACCAAGAAAAACCCCCCACAAATTACCAATACCAAGAATGAAAGAGAGATTAGCATTACAGATCCTATATATATGAAAAGGATAACAAGGGACTACTATGAACAATTCTGTGCCCGCAAATTGAACAACTTGGTTGAAATGGGTAAACTCTTGGAAACACAAATTACCAAAGTTGATTTAAAAAGAAACAGAAAACTTGAATAGCCCCAAATCAATTAAAACATATTCACAATTTAAAACCTTACCTAAAGCAAATTTTGTACCCAGACAGTTTTATTGGTGAATTTCTAAAGAAGCAATATTACCAATCCTTCCAGGAAATAAAAAAGAGGGGTTCACTTCCCAGCTCATTTTATGAGGCCAACATTACCCTGATACCAAAACCAGGTAAATTGCAAGAAAAGAGAATTATAGACCAATATCCCTCATGAACATAAATGCAAAAATCCTTAAGAATATTAGGAAATAGAATCTAAAAATTACATAAAAGTGTAATACATCATGACCAAGTGGAGTTTATTCCAGTATGATCAACTCAATGGTTAACTGAAAAAAATGTTCACAAAATTGTACATCTTCATGGTTAAAAAAGAACTCAATAAACTAGGATTAGCAGGAGACATCCTGTACCTAATGAAGGTCTTTAAAAAAAAAAACAACTATTGCTGATACCAAAAGTGCAGGCAGCAAAAGAAAAAAATAGACAAATTAGACTTTGTGAAAAAGTTTTAAATTTGTGTATCAGAAGATACTATTAAAAGAGTAAAAAGGCAACCTGAAGAATGGGAGACTGTATTTGCAAATCATACAGGTAAAGGATTTATGTCCAGAATACATGGAGAACTCTTAAAATTAACAAAACAACAAATAATCTGTTTAAAAAAAGTAGGCTATGGTTTGAATAGATATTTGTCTGAACAAGATGTATGAATGGCCAATAAGCACATGTGCAGTGAAGCCAGTCCTTACTTCACACCATACAAAAAATTTACTCAAAATGTATGTAAATGTAAAAGACAAAACTATAAAAAATTTCAAAGGAAATGTAGGAAAAAATCTTCACGACACTAAGAAAGACAAAAATTTGTTATGTATAATGATATAAAAAGCAAAAACCTAAAGAAAAAAAAACTATGAATTAGATATCATCAAAATTTTAAAGTTCAGCTCTTTGAAAGACACTTCAAAGAAAATGAAGATGCAAGCCATGGACTGGTAGAAAACCTTTCTCATTCATATATTCTGACAAAGGATTTGTATCCAGTATATATAAAGAAGTCTTAAAGCTCAATAAGACAATCCAATTTAAAAATGGCAAACGATTTGAATATAAATGTCACAAAAGACAATAGAAGAACAGCCAGTGAGCACATGAAATGATGTTCAGTATTATTCATTATCAGAGAATGTAAATTAAAACTCAGTGAGATACTACTACACACTG